CAACTAAACGACTAAACACAACAACAACATTTATACCCTGCCTTTCCTCCATGGGGCTCAGGGCAGTGTAGCATTTCCCTCAAGGGCAAAAGCAGAGCTGGTAAGGGATGTGACCTGGTAAGGGAAGCGGTGCAGCTTGGGGAGAGAGTCCTGAGGGCCAGGCGGAGAGGCCTGAGGGGCCACGTCCCTGATGCAGATGATTCTGTAAAGTCAGCAGCACTGTAAAGTCAGTTTAGTACTAAAGAGAACAGCAGATCAGGAGAAAAGCAAAAATCAACGGCGGAAGCAGCCATTTTGATTAAGATCCTAAATCAACACGCTATACCTATTTCCCACCCCACTGAGCGACAAATGTCCCTATTTGGAGCTTGGTGTTCTCTCCCTGCCCCCCACCCCATTTCCCCCATCTATATTACTTTCTGAGCACGTTGATTGTGACCTAAATTGCTTGCACTGGGATTTTAATTCATTCTCAGCTGCAGTAATCACTTGAATTTAAGATTCTCTTCCCCTCCCAAACATGCAGTTTTACCCTGCAATTTAATCCACAATGCAATTTCCCCCACCGATGGATCCTTTTAATGACACAGCCGCTCCTGCCACAAAGCACCACATCCCTCCCCCATGGAGTTTCCTTTATGCATTTCATGTCATTTCAACATTATTGGAGAATCTAATGAACTCGGAGCTATCTGGTTCAGCTGCCATTGTGCGGGCCACAGAGGAGGGTTTCACTTCACGTGGTCTCCATCTTTGTTTTATTTCAGTCATAGGTGTTTTTGTTAGCGAGTCGCTGGGTCCATCATCTCTCTCCCTCCCCCCCTCCGGTGCTTTTTCTTCTGATGTAATCCACTGGCCAGGGATGCGGGTGGCACTGTGGGTTAAATCACAGAGCCTAGGGCTTGCCGATCAGAAGGTTGGCAGTTCGAATCCCCACGATGGGGTGAGGTCCCGTTGCTCGGTCCCTGCTCCTGCCAACCTAGAAGTTCGAAAGCACATCAAAGTGCAAGTAGATAAATAGGTACCGCTCCGGCGGGAAGGTAAACGGCGTTTCCGTGCGCTACTCTGGTTCGCCAGAAGCGGCTTAGTCATGCTGGCCATATGACCCGGAAGCTGTACGCTGGCTCCCTCGGCCAATAAAGCAACATGAGTGCCGCAACCCCGCAGTCGTTTGCGACTGTACCTAATGGTCAGGGGCCCCTTTACCTTTACCTAGTCCACTGGCCGCTGTCACCTGGATATGGAAAGAGGAGAAAACAGCTGATCATCTGTCTTTTTCATCTTCTAAGATCTTGAATTTGGGTGATGCTGATGTTAAGCCTGGAAGACACACTAAAGGATATAGATCAGGCACCCCCCAAACTCAGCCCTCCAGATGTTTTGGTACTACAATTCCCATCATACCTGACCACTGGTCCTGTTAGCTAGGGATGATGGGAGTTGTAGTCCCAAAACATCTGGAGGGCCGAGTTTGCCTATGCCTGTGGTAGACCATCTGCTTTGCATTCAGAAGGTCCCTGGTTCTTTTTTATTCTTTTGAAATAATTTTTATTTGATTTTACAAGTGTAGAATTACAAGAATACAAAATACATATTCATACATAGAGATTTCTTTGAATCTCCTGACGTCCCACCCTCCGTAGGTCCTTTTGTCAACCTTTCCAACTGCATATTATTGCATAATCTATGTTTTATATCTCTCCATATTCATGATATTTGCTACATTACAAGTCTTATTAAAATCCTGCTAATGCTTTCATCTGCTTACAGTGGTCTCCTAAACAAATTATACTTTCCCTCCATCCTTTATTGACGTTTTTGTCTTCTTGCTTCCTGAGCTTTCCAGTCAGTTTTGCCATTTCGGCATACTCCAACAGCTTGGTTTGCCATTCCTCTCTGGGAGGGACTTGGTCTTCTTTCCTTCTCTGAGCTAGTAGCATCAGTGCGGCTGTAGTTGCATACATAAAAAGTCTTTTCTGCTCCTTTGGGATATCGGTACCTACAATTCCTAATAAAAAAGCTTCTGTTTTTTTTAAAAAATACAGGTTATTTTAAACATTTTTAAAAAATTCATTATATATCATCTCCCAGAATGCTTTTATTACCTTACACAACCACCACATATGGTTAAAGGTACCTTCTTTCTCTTTACATTTCCAGCAGGTATTTGTACTTCAGAAGAAACCTGGTTCAACCCCTGGCATCTCCATGTAGGGCTGGGAATATCCTCTGCCTGAACTCCTGGAAAGCCATTGACAGCCAGTGTAGACATTACTAATGGTCTGACTCATTGTAAGGCATATTCCTATGTTCCTAGTTACAAAAGGCAGCAGAATGTGGGACTGAGGTGGCGTAGTGGGCTGGGCCAATGCAAATGGAGGAGGTGCCGTTTTTGAACCCTCCTTCAAGTAGAAATTTACTGCAAGTAGAAAATGAGTCCATCAAGGAGAAGGGTTCTAGTTCTGCCCTCCCCCTGCTGTGCTAGGTTTCTAGAGAATTATTTCTGTTTTTACATAGGGAAACATTTGTATGCTTCACACACACACACACCACTGGTCATTGGTACAGCATCACTAGCCTCTCAGGAGTCCCCAACCTCATTCTTCCAGCCGTAAGTGTAATCTGGTGGGCATGGTGCAAAAACACAGCCATGCACTTGAGCAGGTCAGCCAAAGCTTGGTTCACCTCTGGATTTCAGAGTTGTCCCAGGCAATTGGTTTTTCAGTGGGCTCCAGTCCTCTTGGTACCATGCTGCCCCCTCCCCTATGAGCCACAGGACCAGAATTTAGCATGTAAAACAAGCAAACAGAGGCCAATTTTCTCTTCCCCCAGGTCCCTCTGCTGAATGAAGTGAGAGGTGAGCAGCTACTAGGAAGAGGGCCTTTTCAGTGATGGCACCCTGCTTATGGAATGCCCTCCCGAGCAGTGGCGGAGCTTCAGGCTCAGGCACCGGGGGGGCAGAGAGCAGGCAGGAGTGGGGCTGGCACACGTCCTGGGGGCGTGGCACGTCGCCCACAGGGACGTGGCACACAGCCTACGGGTGTGTGGTGCCCAGCACTGGCAGAGGGCAGCCACGATGGCACTCCACCAGGATCACGCTGCCGGGGGCGGTGCGCTCCCCCCGCACTCCTCTTCCTCCGCCAATGCTCCCCAGAGAGGCTCACCTGGCAATGGGGAACCTGTGGCCCTGCAGCCATTCCTGGACTGCAACTCCCATCATCCCTGACCAGTGGCCATGCTGGCTGGAGCAGATGGGAGCTAGAGTCCAAGAATATCTGGAAGTTTGCCAGGTTCCCCACCTCTGGCCTACACTATGATCTTTAAGTTGCCAGCTTGAGGACCTTCTGGTTTTCCCAGGTTCTTCGCAGCACAATCCCACCCAGCTCTTCAGTTTCTGCGCCAAGTTCCCCCTTGCTGGGATTTATGCTGCTTTTATTTGTTACAGTTGCTGTGCTTTATGCTTATTTTAGTTGTGCTCTGCTTTGCCAGGCTTTTGTTGGTTTCATAATTCATCTTGATTTTAGAGGTTTTTATTGAGAACTGTATTTTATTCCTTACAGAAACCGCTCAGAGCACTTAGGTGGATGGGCGGCCTAAAGATGAAACGAATGAATGAATTGGTTTCATTTATACAGGTAGGAGGCTCCTTTTGCCACTGGATGACACATAATTTGGATTGCCTTCCCCCATAATTTTCTTTTTTCATCTCATCTCGCCTGTTTATTTGTATGTTGTTTCCCCATGAGATTGTGCCCAAAGTGGCCCACAACAACTCAAATAAAAAGTAACAACTAAAAAAAAAGAGAAACAATTACAAATCATAATATAAATAAATGTGCGCACACAAAAATCAATCCATGAAACATTTTGAAAAACAATGCAGGTAAATTAATTCAACAGCCAGCGGTTCTCAACCTGTGGGTCCCCAGGTGTTGTTGGACTACAACTCACATCATCCCTGAGCTCTGGCCTTGCTAGCTAGGGGTGATGGGAGTTGTAGTTCAACAACTTCTGGGGACCCACAGGTTGAGAAAGGCTGGTAGACTAAACAACATTGTACTGTATAAAGCAATACAAAAGAGCAAGTCTAGTTTTTAAACTTAGCACGGGACAAATGACTGCATACCAACTATATGTTTAAGGCACACACCCTGCTTGAGAACCGTAGTCTGCTCTTCACAAAGCAACAACAACAACAACAACAACAACTTATTATTTCTACCCTGCCCATCTGGCTGGGTTTCCCCAGCCAACAGAATTAAAAGTACAATAAAACATCAAACATTAAAAAAAAACCTTCCTAAACAGGGCTGCCTTCAGATGTCTTCTAAAAGTCAGGTAGTTGTTTATTTCCTTGACATCTGGTGGGAGGGCATTCCACAGGGCGGGCGCCACTACCGAGAAGGCCCTCTGCCTGGTTCCCTGTAACCTCACTTCTCGCAGTGAGGGAACCACCAGAAGGCCCTCGGTGCTGGACCTCAGTGTCTGGGCTGAACGCTGGGGGTGGAGACGCTCCTTCAGGCATACTGGGCCGAGGCCGCTTAGGGCTTTAAAGGTCAACACCAACACTTTGAATTGTGCTCGGAAACATTCTGGGAGCCAATGTAGGTCTTTCAGGACCAGTGTTACATGGTCTCGGCTGCCGCTCCCAGTCACCAGTCTAGCTGCCGCATTCTGGATTAGCTGCAGTTTCCAAGTCACCTTCAACGGTAGCCCCACGTAGAGCGCATTGCAGTAGTCTAAGTGGGAGATAACTAGAGCATGCACCACTCTGGCAAGACAGTCTGCAGGCACAATTCCCAGCACCCATAACAAACAACAGTTGCCAGGATTCCTTGTGGGGAGGGGACATATATTTTAAATGTTTGATAGGTACATAGCCCAAGTGTTCGTGGGAAACATTGGAAGCTGCCTTATACTGAGTCAGACCGTTGGTCCATCGAGCTCAGTAACGTCTATACTAACTGGGATTTCAGGCAGGGAATCTTTCCCAGCCTCACCTGAGATGGCGGGGCTTGAACCTGGGAAGTTCTGCGTTCAAAGCGGACGCTCTCCCATTGAGCTATAGCCGGGGGATTTTGGATTGTGCTGGTGATGAAGCTCACATTAGCCTCCCATCCTTACTGTCATTTGTATTGCTTTCCACAGCATGCTTCTCTTCCCAAAAGCCAGCCCAGGAGGATGGGCACGCAGTTCTTAGGCAGTCCTCCATGCAAACATTGGCAACTCTGAACTATACTTAGCATCAGGGAGGATTTCATTAAGTGGTTTGAGGGCCTTCCCTGCACCTAATCTGCCATGCAGATGGATGGGCAATGGACCAGCAGGAGCTGGAGCTCCAAGCCCTGAGCACATCTGATCTTGAATGAGAGCCTTGTGCAGACTGCAGAGTAAAGCTCAAAGCTGGAGCCCTGTGTCGATATTCACTGTTTCCATGAAGGGGTGGATGTCACAGACCCTCCAAGTGTCTCTATTTTCCAGAGACAGTCCCAAATTTACAGAAGCCGCCACGGTTTCTGATTTGAACCCAGAATGTCCCATTTTCCCTTAAGATGTCACTATTTTCACCAGAGAAATGTTGGAGGGTATGGAGCTATGCGAAATGTTGGAGGGTATGGAGTTATAAGTAACTATACAGTGGTACCTCAGATTACATACGATTCAGGTTACATATGCTTCAGGTTACAGACTCTGCTGACCCAGAAATAGTGCTTCAGGTTAAGAACTTTGCTTCAGGATGAGAACAGAAATTGTGCTCCGGCAGTGTGGCGGCAGCAAGAGGCCCCATTAACTAAAGTGGTGCTTCAAGTTAAGAACAGTTTCAGGTTAAGAATGGACCTCTGGAATGAATTAAGTACTTAACCTGAGGTACCACTGTACATCCTTTAGAAGACACCTGAAGAGAGCCCTGTATAGGGAAGTTTTTATGTTCAATGTTTTATTATGTTTCTATATATTTGGAAGCCACCCAGAGTGGCTGGGGGAAACCCAGTCAGATGGGTGGGCTATTATTATTATTATTATTATTATTAAAAAGGACTCATATTCCTATTTTCATAGCAGAAATGGATAAACGTTGGGGGCTTGGGGTATGATGTCATGGTCCAAAAGGAAACGAAGGAAGCAAGGAGGAAGACAAAGGGCTGAAGTCAGAGCTACAATTCCCAGAGTGGTTTAACAGGCATTCCCACTTCCCATGGGAATTCTGGGAATTGTGCAGCACTGTGATGGGGGAAAGGGTCTCCTAACATGTCTCTGTACCTTTAACAAGCCACACTTCCTGGGATCCTTTGGGGAAAGAAGCCATGACTGTTTAAAATAGTTTAATACTGCTTTAAATGTATAGTGCAGATGGGCGCCTAAGAAGAAGGAAGCTGCTGGTTGTAAATAAGAAGGCAGGCAGGCAGGCAGGTGGGGACTGACTGAAGCTGGTGATTTCACCCTCAAGGATCAGCCTCAGCTACTGCCCTGAGCTCTTCCTCTGCAGCCTGGGTGGAAATTACAATAAGGAATTGCATCCTCCTCTGGATGGCTTTTTGCTCAGCCTGGCTCTGTTCAATGGTTGTGGCTTTTTGGCTCTTCATTACAGCTCAGGCTTCTCCCTCCTCCAGATTTCACTCTTTCTCATCTCCTTTCCGCACAAAAAAGGAGACTTAAATCAAAACAAAGGAGTTAACAGCACAATTAGCAGAGCAAATGGAAGTGAGGGAGAAGAAAGCAAGAGAGCTGTGAAGTAGGGGGTGTCTCCCCCTTTCTCTCTCCGCTGGCAAGAGTGTTATTAGGCACTCACAAAGATTCCTTATTAAATGCCTTTTGACATCAAGTAGGAAATTATAGGACGTGTGCATTCATTCACTCACTCAGGTGACAATTGAGCCCTGGCTGCCACACTCAGGGAGGGGGGGGACGTGGGGGGAGGATAATAAAGGAGATACTGGAAGAAAAGCAAAAGACAGCAGGTTTATAAATCATGTTTCCAAAGCTTTTTCCCCCCATTGAGCAACAATACCTCTTAGATCCGAAACAAGAGATGGAAATGAGAAAAGCCGATGGTGGCTTAAGCACAACACTGCATCTCTGTATTTATTTAATCCTTTCCAACATAAGATGCTACCTTATGCATGGGGCTGCCCTTGAAGACTGTTCAGAAATATCGGTTGGTTCGGCCCTATTATCTGGGGCTACACACACACCATATATTCCAAGCACATGACTTCATGCAATCCTGGGAACTGCAGTTCACTCAACGCAGAGTTACAATTCCCAGCACTCTTCACAAAACAACAGGGTCCAAGATTCTTTGGGTCCAAGTCATGTGCTTTAACTGCATAGGGCATAGGTGCCAACTTCCTTGGGCCCTGGGTGCCAGAGCACCTACAAAACTCCCCATGAAGAGACAGGGCACCCACAATTTTTGGTGCCAGGGCCATTCACCCTGGTCACACACAGTTGTGGGGCCAAGTTGGCACCTCTAGTATGGGGTATGAGCAGCAAGAGACTTGCTGTTCCAGTTCTATTTGGCCTGTGTCAAAGGAGCTTCACTGGCTTCCAGTGCATCTCTGGGAACTATCTGAGGTGTTCGTTATAATCTCACAAACCATTTCCACTTTCCATTTAAAAAGGTGATCAGGGAGAGACAATGCAAGAGAAAGTCTACCTTCACCTGCCACCCAACTCCAGCAATGGAATGTTCTCTCCAGTGAGGCCTGCCTAACATCTTTGCAGCTCCAGGTTAAGACCTTTCTTTTTCCCAAGGCATCTGTTTATCATTGTCCAAGGATTGTGAGAGTTTATCATGGCTCAGATACCGCTGATCATTTTACTGGTGCTACCACTGTGATTCTGATGCTGTTGTTCGTTAGTGTATTGATTATTGCTCTTTTCTGTAATGTTATTCTGTTTGTAAGCTGCCTATAGACTATTTTTGTATTAGCTAATAAACAAAATCATCATCATCATCATCATCTGTTTGGGACCTGGGCACTTGAAATGGCTAACCTTAAAAAAGAATTATCTGCTGCCCCATGATTTTAATTGATCAATGAACCAACTAAACCTTGCAGCCTTTATTGTTATGTCGTGCTTTTTTTGGCCACTGCTTACAGATTTTTAAATATTAAGCATCTTAGAAGCTTTTTTAAATATAAGACCCCATCTTAGCACTATACATACATTTAAAGCAGTGCCACACCACTTTAAATAGATGTGGCTTCCCCCACAGAATCCGGTTTGTTAATGGTCTTGAGTGTTGTGAGGAGAGCCCCTGTTCCCCTACAGCTGCAAGTTAAACCAATTCGGAGAATGGAATCTCGGGGGGGGGGGGGGACAGCAGCCTTAGCAAACTACACTTCCCAGGATTCCTTGGGGAGCGGGGGAGCCCTGACTTTTAAAGTGGCATGACACTGCATTAAATATACAGTGCGGACGTGACCAGAATTAGTAAACATATGGAGGGGTGTAAAAATTTCAAACGGTGAGGCGAGGGGGTCAATGAAAGGCAGAAAAGTAGGTAGCGAGTGGGCTCCTGACGACGAAAGCACCGATTATGGGATGGAGGCGGGTGGCTCTCCCAGCAGCCCACCCCGCCCCTTGCGCCGCTTGAAGCTTCATCAGCCCCACCCACCAGTTTACGTCACACTTCCCACCCCTTGGCCCCGCCCATCTCTTGTCCCGTGCCTGAGAAAAAAGTGGAAACTGGCTACTTACTTGCATGTGCGTAGCGGTGGGGCGCCCCGTTGTTGAACTGCGACGCCATGCCTGGTCCTGTACGGATGCCCTCTCGGGAAGAGGCTCTGCTAGGCAGATCTGAGGCAATCGTAGTGTCAGGTACGGGAAGAGGGAGACCCACGCGTGTCCCTGCATTTTCGTGGGGTGGGTGCAGCCGAGGTGGGAGGGGGCTTAAGAAATCCCCACCCACCGTGATCAGCTATGCTTTCTGTCCTTTACCCGCCCAAATCTATCTCACAAGGCACAAGGCACAAGGGGAACGCCAGTCAGTTAAGGCAGGGAAGCTCCCCGTGGGGTTTGCTCCCGCGTAGACCTGCACGGGACCGGCAGAGAAGAGCAAGGAGGAAGGCATCCAACGCAGTGTAGCTCAAGAGGATCGTTAGATCCCAGGTCCTGAGTGCGGAGATTGCTGGAGGGATCCTGCGCACACACGCGCGCGCGCACGCACTCCCGTGGCTCTCCGGAGGAAGTTTTGAGCCTCCAGGAGCTCTTGGAATGTGCGTTGTTTTGTGGTTTGCAAACTGGCTCTGACGCATGACGATCCCGGGGCAGAGAAATCGGGAGCTGGGATTTGCACCCCAAAATAAGTTATGGGTGTGCAAACTTCCGTTCGTTATCCAAGCTGCTCACGTGTCTGTGTGGAATAAGGGGCTGGGTGCATGGGCTTAGCCAAGGGGCAGGCAGCTGCCCCCCCAATCAATAAAAATATATAGCAAACGGAGGTTCTGCCCCCACTAACAAGAGGCCTGCCCCCCCAACAAAAGGTCTGTGCCCCCTAACAAAAATCCTGGCTGTGCCCGTGGCTGGGTGTTGAGAGTCTATGGTTCTTCCAAAATGGTGGGTCTAGGGGAGAGTGTGGAGGACCCTCCTCCTTTTCCAGGCTGACTATTGTCCTTTGCATGTTACCTGCAAAGCTGAACTTTTGGGTGGAGGTGAATAATATGAGATGTCAAAGACTTCTTCCTATAAAAGACTGGTGAGTCAATGTGTAGAGAATGTCTCACAGGTCATATTAGTGCCATCATACATTTAGAGCACACGACTCCCCCCAATGAATCCTGGGAGCTGTCATTTACTCCTCAGAGAACAGTTCCCAGACCTTTGAACAACCCGAAGGTAACCGGGGTTCTTTAGGGGAAGTCCAATGCTATACAGCGGATGTGACCTCAGACTGTGGCTGCGGAGAACGCAGGTCCCGATCCCTGTGCCCAGCCATGAAAAGCTCACTGGATGACTTTGGGACAACCTACCTTACAGGGTTGTTGTGATATTAACACTGAGAACTGTGCATGCTGTGTTGATCTCCCTGGTGGAAGTGGGACAGGAATGTAAAGCAGTGTAATAAAGTGATTTTTGACAGGAAAAGTGCAAAGGTTGAAGTCCAAGGGAGACAGCTTGCCTGACCTCATTGCTTCCTGAAGCTCACACGCTCTAAAGTTCTCGTTTGTGCATGCAGTAGATAAGATTGTAAAGCCTCCTTGTCTGTTCCATTTCTAATTACCACTAAGGAGCAGCCTGGTTAAATGTTTCCCCATTTGGCAAAGAAGGGATCGTACACATTCAAAACAGTATCAGGGAGAAGGCTAAGCTAGAACTCCTCACCCTGATTTCTAGTTTGGATCCCTCACCCAGAGAAAAGTAATTCATCTCTGTCGCACCCCCCGCCTCCATCTGCAGTGGTAGATTCCAAGAGTTGACCATTGCATCAAATGTTTATTACATTTTTTAAAAAAATCCCACCTTTCCCCCAAGGAAATGTAGATGGTGTACAGGACTGGGCAATACCTGGTTTTCAACATCGTTATATATTTCACCAGCTAAGCATCACGATATACCAATAGATCATGATGTCGGAAATAAGGATGGAGCTATGTAGAGGCATTGGCTGGCTTCACGGTTTCCCCCGCATTGTGATTTCTGCATAACAGCCTTGGTCCAGTATACCTGAGGAGCGTCTCCACCCCCATCGTTCTGCCCGGACACAGAGGTCCAGCGCCGAGGGCCTTCTGGCGGTTCCCTCGCTGCGAGAAGCCAAGTTACAGGGAACCAGGCAGAGGGCCTTCTCGGTAGTGGCACCCTATGGAACGCAGTCCCACCAGATGTCAAAGAGAAGAACAACTACTACCAGACTTTTAGAAGACATCTGAAGGCAGCCCTGTTTAGGGAAGCTTTTAATGTTTAATAGACTATTGTATTTTAATGTTTTGTTGGAAGGTGCCCAGAGTGGCTGGGGAAGCCTGGCCAGATGGGCGGGGTATAAATAATAAATTATTATTATTATTATTATTACACCTGCACACACCATGATTCATGGTATATTGTTAGGTCAAAAATTATGAAACAGATATGAGGATATAGACTTCTGTGGGCTGGTTTTGGATAAAATATTGCCCAGCCGTAATGGTGCTCCTGCCCCCTTCCCTTCTCATTTGCTCCTCATGGCAACGCTGCAAGGTGGGTTAGGCTAAGAGATAGGAAACTGCCTCATGCAAAGTGCACATCTAGCTCATTGTTTACACTGGTGGTAGTGAACCTCTGGGCTCAGCTATGCTCACTGGACCTCCCTGTTTGGCCCGTGAGGCCATTTTGGATAAACCACACCCACCTGCCACACACCTAGTGTCATGTATGATGTCGGGGGCAGAGCTGGTAGCACTTTGTGAGCCCGAACGATCCACTGATTGTCGGGGAGTTGAAGCACCGCACAGGGCTGTATGCAAGCTCTGACCATCACCCGATAGTTGGGCTTAGGCCTTCACAGCTTAGGCGCACATCAGATGAGCGAAAACGGGTTGCTTGATGTTGCTGCGAAGTCAGGTGATTGGCAGGTGGGCAGCCTCGCAAGGGAGAGGGGAGATAAGGATCTGGTCTGTCAGCTGAATCCAGTTCCTAACCCCTGGCCACACCCTCTATACCAAGGATGGGGAGCCTGTGGCCCTCTGGCTCCCACCAGCCCCAGTCAGCATGGATGTCAGAGACGACGAAAGAGTCAAGCAACATTTGAAGGACCAAAGGTTTCCTAGCTCTGCTCTTCCTTGGCTGGTAGCTCTAAAATCCTAGAATCAAAGAATCATAGAGTTGGAAGAGACCACAAGGGCCATCGAGTCCAACCCCCTGCCAAGCAGGAAACACCATCAGAGCACTCCTGACATATGGTTGTCAAGCCTCTGCTTAAAGACCTCCAAAGAAGGAGACTCCACCACACTCCTTGGCAGCAAATTCCACTGTCGAACAGCTCTTACTGTCAGGAAGTTCTTCCTAATGTTTAGGTGGAATCTTCTTTCTTGTAGTTTGGATCCATTGCTCTGTGTCCGCTTCTCTGGAGCAGCAGAAAACAACCTTTCTCCCTCCTCTATCTGACATCCTTTTATATATTTGAACATGGCTATCATATCACCCCTTAATCTCCTCTTCTCCAGGCTAAACAGAAGTCTTCCCTGTCCTACTTAAGGGATACTGGGGCAGTCTGCATGCAAAGCATGTGATTTGCCGCGCTTACTCTGAGATGGTGTAGCCACTGCGCCACACTTCCTCTGTGCTTATAGGAGTTAGAACCAATTAGAAAGCAAAACTGGCCTTTCAGAGCTTGGTGCCCCAGTCTTCTGTTGTCTGTGCCTCTGTTTGCAAATTGGGTCTCGGCTTGCTTTTCATTGAGGAAGTTGGTAAAAATAGTGTGGCTTTTATTTTTTTTATAGTAAAGGCCTTTGCTCGCGTTTCTATCCCACCCTTAAGGCTATCCTAAGAGCCCTGCTGGAGCCAGGCAAAGGCTTATCCAGCATTCTGTTTCTAGAGCGAGCAAACACTGGGTACTTGTGGGAAGACCCTAATAATAATAATAATTATTATTTATTTATACTCCGCCCATCCGGCTGGGCTTCCCAGCCACTCTGGGCAGCTTCCAACAAAATATTAAAATACAGTAATGCATCAAACATTAAAAGCTTCCTTAAACAGGGTTGCCTTCAGATGTCTTCTAACAGTCTGGTAGTTGTTGTTCTTTTTGACATCTGGTAGGAGGGCATTCCACAGGGCGGGCGCCGAGAAGGTCCTCTGCCTGGTGCCCTCGGAGCTGGACCTCAGTGTCGGGGCAGAATGATGCAGGGTGGAGACGCTCCTTCAGCTATACTGGACCGAGGCCAAGCAGGACATGAATGTGAAAGCCCTTTCCCACTGTTGTTCTCCAGCAACTGGGCCTCAAGAGGGATATACCGCCTCCGAACCAGGATTTGGTATGATGAGCCATTGTGATGAGCGCCCACCGATACTGTATAGCCTTGCGGTCCATGAATTTGTCTAATCCTCTTTGGAAGCCTTCCAAGTTGATGGACATCACTACATTTTGAGAGGGCAAATTCCATCATTGAACTACGGCACTGTGCGAAAAGGTGCTTTCTTTTCTCTGTCCTGAATTTTCAGCTTCATGGGATGATCCTGAATTCTGGTATTAGGAGAGGGTAGGGGAGAAACCACTCTCTTTCCACTTTCACCACACCAGGCACATTAGTTTTACAGTGGTACCTCGGGTTACAGATGCTTCAGGTTACAGACACTTCAGGTTACAGACTCCGCAAACCCGGAAGTAGTACCTCAGGTTAAGAACTTTGAGAACTGAAATCGCACAGCGGCAGCAGGAGGCCCCATTAGCTAAAGTGGTACCTCAGGTTAAGAACAGTTTCAGGCTAAGAACGGACCTCCAGAATGAATTAAGTTCTTAACCAGAGGTACCACTGTATATGCCTCAGCCGTGGCCCTCTTCCTCACCCTTTTTCTAAGCTAAAAATCCCAAACCTTGTCACTGTTCCTATATGGTGAGCAGCAGGGAGACTGAGGCACAACAGTGAAACCGCCCCCCCCCCATTTATGGTAATTTTCATTTGTATATTATATTTTGTATTATAGATTATGATTCTATTAATTAAGTAGGGGAACGGCCACAGCTCAGTGATAGAGCATCTTCTTCACATGCAGAAGGCCCCAGGTTCAATCCCCAGCAGGACTGGGACTGCCCCCTGCATGAAACCCTGGAGTGCTGCTGCCAGTCAGAGCGGACAATATGCAGCTAGATGGACCGGTGATCTGATTCTGTATGAGGCAGCTTCCAGTGCTCTTAATATTTCCATAGCGTTCATTAGCACCGTGACTGAGGAACATGCTCAAGAACTGTGTGTGAAAGTAATGCCATTATGAGCTGGACAGGCTGAGTTGGACATGTGCTCTCAGTAGAGGAAAAGCTCTGAGCTACATTGCTTCAGATCCTGAAGGTCCAACTGAGTTCTTCTTACAAGCAATAAAAGAAAATAATGACTTGACCATCATTGGATGCACTTTGCATTTCAGATAAGCTCTGTTGATCACCTGGAGATGGCATGAGCATGTTTAATGCTTGCTCCGTAACTTCTGTTATCTATTTTATTATTATTATTATTATTATTATTATTATTATTATTATTATTATTCTACTTTGTGCTGGAATGAATGGGTGGATGGTTATATGCGTTAGGGTGGGGGGAACTGCTTGCTGATTTCCCAGCTGCTCTTCCCAAGAGAGTGTCATCCCTGTTTACATTCTGAACATGTGCCAAGGGCCTGTGCTATGGAATGATACTGATTGGGGATGGGGTATACTGCACTCTCCATGGCAACAGATAAGTGTTGCTAGGAGACAGCGGAGGAATAAAAGGCTGGGAGGGATGCCCAGCAGCCTTCGTACCCCTCCTCCTCCTCGTCTTCCACTCTCTCTCCCCAAAGTGTCTTTTGGAACAAGATTATTCCTGAAACGTGGCGACTGTCATTGCAACCATCACATGGTAGCGCAAGGCGGTGGAGGAGTTGGGAGCATCTGAAGACTGGGTTTCTTTCTTTGCACATCTACCATGCAATGGTGTCAGTCGCCATTAACCCCTGTAGTCTTGCCTGGTACAAAGGCACTTGTATGACCTTCTGCCACGTCTGTAAGAAAGGAAAAGGTGCTCACCAGTGGTGGGGCATCTTGCTTAGGATCACAGGAAGCTGCCTTCTGCTGAGTCCCATTGTCTACACAGGCTGGCAGTGACTTTCCAAAATGTGAGGCCTAGAGTCTCTTCCATCACAACCCGAAGATGTTGGGGACTGAACTGGGCACCTTCTATAAGCTGAGCAGATGCACACTTAAAGCACCCCTTAATATTTTTTGTTGGAAATTGTAGTTTATCCTTTACAGAGCTACAATTCCCAGTGCTCTTGAAGACTACAGTTCCTATGATTCTTTAAATGTATGATGTGTATGCAGCCTAAGTATTTGCATGGGAACTTTGGAAGCTGCCTAACCCTGAGTCAGACCATTGGTTCCTCTAGCGTAAAGGGACCCCTGACCATTAGGTCCAGTCGTCACTGACTCTGGGGTTGCGGCGCTCATCTCGCTTTATTGGCCGAGGGAGCCGGCGTACAGCTTCCGGGTCATGTGGCCAGCATGACTAAGCCGCTTCTGGTGAACCAGAGCAGTGCACGGAAATGCCGTTTACCTTCCCACTGGAACGGTACCTATTTATCTACTTGCACTTTGTGCTTTCGAACTGCTAGGTTGGCAGGAGCTGGGACCGAGCAATGGGAGCTCACCCCGTCTCGGGGATTTGAGCCGCCGACCTTCTGATCGGCAAGTCCTAGGCTTTAACCCACAGCGCCACCCGCATCCCTATTCCTCTAGCTTAGTAATGTCTAAATTGACTGGTAGTAGCTCTCAAGGGTTTCAGGCATGGAATCTCTCCCAGTCCTACATGGAGCAGGCAGGGTTTGTACCTGGGACCTTCTGCATGCAAAATTAGATGCTCTGCCACTGAGCCACAGCCCCTTTGTTTTAGATTATGAATGCAATGCAGAAGAAGATGCTGGGTGTTGCTATAGTTCCGTTGACCATAAGATGTACCCTACTGAATTGGAATGGAGGTCCATCCAGCCCACCGTGGCAAGTTAGATTATTCTGTGCTTTGCAACGGAGAAGATTCCCAGCTATAGTTCCTGGCATCTATAGATAGGGCTGGAAAAGACCTTCAGTCTGGACCGCTGATCACTCACAGTGTGGCTCTGCCTCACCTTGGACTGCCCAAGTCAGAAGGGGAAGGTGGAAGATGAGGGTCTGCAGAGTGGATGTTTGCCAAGCGCAAGGGGCATGGTGGTGAATTCAAGAGCCTTGCTGAGGATGTACATATTGCCAGATTCAAAACTCTGGAGACTGATGGAAGGGGTGAAGGCACAACAAAGCAGGCTTGGGAAGGGTTGTAGCTCAGTGGCAAAGCATGTACCTTGCATTCTGAAGCTTCCTTGCTCAACACTTAGTGGAAGCCTAGGCATGTTCACACAGAAGCAGGACCCAGGGTGGTCACTGAGACTTGTTCCAGGTAAATGTGCCTATGATTGCAGCCGCCAGTTTTTTGTTGCAGCTGACTAACACAGTTGACTCTCTGGAACTCATAATCTTGAAACAGCACCGGTCCTCTTTCTACTCAGTTTGCCCCCTCGACAGTGCAAGAAGATCTTGGATCACATCTCAGCTGAACTGGTTGCAGATCAACTTTGCTCCTCAGTCAGGTTTTTTCTTGCAAAAGGTCCAGGTTTTTTAAAACAATAACAACTTCTCCCTATTCTGGTTACTCCCCTGTTTCTTAGAAAACCAAACCAAACTGATACTTTACTCTCAAGCAAGTCATGGAGCGTTTTGTTTCATATGCTTACTCCTAGACTTTGGAACTCCCTCCCTAAAGAAGCTGGGCTGGATCCCTCCTTGCTGTCCTTCTGACGGCAGGTGAAGACTTTTTTGTTTCCACAGGCTTTGAGGAACTGGCTGCTTTTAATGACAGGGCTGGTGCTGTAGTGTTATCATTGCAACCATCCATATGGTTTTAGATCCTAGATATTCAGCAGGTTCCCTCTGTGCCAACTTTTAAATGCCTGCCTCCTCTATTCCGCCAGGCCTATGCAGGCAGTTAATAATACATCTCCCACAATAGTTGGTTTGTTTTTTATTTCTTTTTGCTTTTAACTTTAAAAAAAAACTTTTTATGATATTTTTTGGCTTTAAGTTTTTGCTTTGCTTTCCATTGTTGCAAACTACTTTGATATATTTTTTCCTGATACAGTGGTAAACAAACAAACAAACAAACAAACAAATAAATAAAGCAAGCAAGCAAGCTTTAATTCTACCAATGTTTAATTGTGTGGTTTTTTTTTAATGATTCCCCCCCCCCCCCGTGTTTCGAGTTGTTTTTATTTTTACCTGTAAGCCGCTTCAGGTCCTGTATGGGAAAAAGACGGAGTATAAAAAACACACGAATAAACAAATACTTTATATTTCCTTCTGTTCCCCTGGGTACAAAACTTTGCAGCAGTGCCAAGCAAAACAGTGTTATTAGTCTGGGAGAGATTCATATCAGGTACTTAGAGCAAGCAAGGTATGAATTTGTTATTGAAGTAGCCCCGGTCAGCGTAGCCGCCAGGGATCAGGAATGATGGGAGTTGTATTCCATCTGGAGGGCCACAAGTTCCCGACCTCTGCCTTAGGAAGAACTATTAGCAGCTTGGTATTTCGGCTCCTTGGCTAATCCTGATCTCTTCTTCGGTGTGTGTTATCTGGACACACAAAACACGCGTGCGCATCCTGCCGCAGAACTGGCATGTTGAATGTAAATTTGCTCATTGTCTCCCCTTCTCCTCCTGCCTTTACCGAGTTGTTCTTTCTCTCTCCTCCCTTTCTCTTTCTCTCGCTTTCTCCTGGTCCCATGATGCTTTGCACCTCAGCAAGCTGATGCCATATAAAAAGAGTGGCTGTTTTCCTGCCCGTTCTTCTGATGGCAGAAGGGGGGAAGCAACCCTGGCACCGTTTGGAGGCGAAAGTTGCCAAGCTTCCGACAAGGTCCTCCTTGTCTTGTTTTCTCTGGCTTGCTTTATCTCCCTCCCACCCCTTTCCCTGACACCCAGAACCTCTTGTGGATAGAGGGCACGAGGCGGGCACCCACAGGAGTCTAGGGCGGGTACTGGCCTGAAGGAATTGGGGGACCGCGCGCCAGAGGAGGTAAGCTTCTTTGCTTCTACCGTGTTCTTTTATTTATCTCTGTGGGTGTTTTTAAATAAATAAACTAGTTGCTGTGAATGTTTGGATCTGCCTACTTTTTTTTTTTTTGGCTAGCTTTCTGGGTTCCGCCAGGCAGGCGTAGAGCGAAAAGGGGGGGTGGAGGGTGGCATAGAACCACTACAGTTGGGATGAAGGTTGGCAGGGAAGCCGTGAGACAGAGGGAGAGAGAGAATAAAGCTGGCACGGGCTGGAGGTCTGCCAAGGATGCTTGGCAGAGATGCCATGGAAGACTGGGGCAGCCTGGACGCGGCAATGTTGTATGGATGGGAGGTGAGGAAGAAATGGTGAAACGCAGAAAGGCAGAGAATAGGAATTGCAGGCTACTGAATTGGACATTTTCTTGCGTCTACATTTTTAATTTTTTATTTATTTTGGAGGGGGGATCCATTTCATATTTGATATTTTTCTCGTGGAGGCTGTTGGTTGGCTCGTTCTGTTTTGCAATATATTTTCAGGCGGAGAGGGGGGGGTTGCGTTTAGGGAATGTGGCAGTTCCTATGCTGATTGAATTGAATCTGGGCCAAGGAAATTATGTAGCCTGCTTGTTCCCGCTCGGAAAAGGGAGTGAGAGTGAGAGAGAAAAGCAGAGAGACAGGGAGGAGTTGGCTGGGAGCTGCCGAGCTGCCTGGCCACTTTGGCAGCCAAAACATCGTGCCGATCCAAGCGGGCCTCCGTGCCTTTTGACTCCTCCTTGGGTTATCTGCTATCTCCCCTTCTGTGGCTCCCCTGCATGGCCCCGGCTTGTTCACATTGGGCTCCTGAATGGGCAGCGTCCGGAGTCTGTGGCAGGTAGCTCGGGACAGGTAGGACCAACTCACACACGCTGGGTCTCTACCATTTCTTTTTGTTCTGCATGCCAGACGGTTGGGTGTATGATTGTGGGCTGGGCTGGCTGAGTCCTAGGAACATATGATGCTGCCTTGTACAGAATCAGAATCTTGGTCCCTTCTAGCTCTATATTGCTTACACGGACTGGCAGCACCACTCTCCAGTGTTTCAGATGGAGTTCTTCCCAGCCCTACTTGCAGATGCCAGGGATTGAACCGGGGACCTTCAGCTTGCGAAGCAGGTTTTCCTCAACCCTTCCCAAGCCTGCTTTGTTATGACTGGCATCCATTATTCTCCTGATTTCTGTATTTGGCAATGCATCATCCTTTCCATGGCCCTTTTCCTGGGCAAATTCCACCTTGCAGATCCCTGATTTTCCCAACCTCTCCCATTTGCTTTGTGCACTCTGAGGTTTAGGGACGGTTGAGGCAACGCCGCAGACATGGCTGCATCTTTTCGGGTTTTGGATTGCCAATGCAATGCACTGCAAAGCATATCAGGTGGGTGTGGTCCAGAAAGCCAGAGATAAAACGGGGAAATAGCTCTCTGCTAGAGGGCAGCTTGGGTTGGCTGGAATTCTCCCAATGCAGACATGTGTTAAGGAGAACGTTAGAAAGAGAAGAGAACCACAGTCCTTCCCTCAGCTCTTCTTTACATGTTAACACAGTGTTGATTTATTATATATAGCCACCACCTGGCTTGTATGCTATATCCTGAGGTACAAAGAGGCTGGGATGCTTTGAAATGTTAATTTCGCTTTTACCAAGTAAGGATATAAGGAAGCTGGGCAGGCTATCTTTTTGGATGTGCCTTACCTTTCTGTGACAACGCTGATTTCCTGGTGCCTTTCTTGCCTCTGGAAAATCATGCTTCCTAGGTGTCTCTTTAAAATTTCTCCTTTACAATGAATTCCCGCACGCTGGAGGCCTCGTTTTTTGAGGTTTCAGCCTGCTTGTTTAGGTTTCTGGGAAATTAAATGGGTAGGTAAGGGAGCAAATTCATGTGAACTCTTTAATATTCACATATGTAACTGCACATGCATTAACTCAAGGCATGGGTGGCGAACCAGCTATCTATATGTCGATGGACTCCAGCTCTGATCAGCTCCAGCCCCTGTGGCCAAGGGGGTCAGGGATAATGGGCTCTGGAGTCCAGCAACATCTGGAGGGCCGCAGATCCCATATCTCTGCCTGAAGGCATCGTCATCCCGCCTTGTACAGCGGGCCATTTCACACTGCAGCTGGCGAGTTTCCTTTTGAAGTGGGGGCGTGCTGTGGCTTTGCAATGTACACATAGCCAAAAGGGAGTGCAGACAGTTCCTTTGTTGTTGTTGTTTTTTAAAAAATGGTATGACTAGACCAGGATGTGGCTCAATTGAATCTTTCTTAGCTGTCCAAACACACAATGGCAAGGCAGCAGTTTCCTACAGAGGCACACAGTGAATTCTTGTATTGCCTCTCTTTTGGTACTCGGTTCATTTTGTTTGTTCGTTTCAGCCATTTGTTTTATGATTCACACATAGAAACCACATATTTCCTTACTTGCATTTCTTTTTGCCATTTCTTTCTTGTGCCTCTTTTTTTTTAACCCCTGCCTGCAGTGGCAGCAGCTAGGCTGATCAGGGAGGCAGGAGGGTGCCTGATTCTTGCAACCACTGCTGTATTTACCCAGAATCCCCTGTGCTAAGACATTGGCACAGGGAGGGGGGAATTGTGGCAGGTGGCATGGGTAGGGGGAGACCACTTTTGATGGACGGGGGGGGGAGAGACCACTTTATTTACCTACAGTGCCTGGAATGGCACAGATGATGAGAAGCCTCCCCCTTTGCTGCCAGAGCAGGTGAGCTCTCCTGCCTCCAACCGACGTGAATGAAAGCAGTGAAAAGAATATCCATTCATTCCCCAATGCATTTGCTTCGGAACGAATGAAAGACAGAAGCTGATTATCCCTATTCATTGATTTCAAATATGCTTCCTCCCCCCCTCCAGTTTTCTTTTCATATCCCAGTACATTCAGTTCCATTCTGATATTAAATATATTTTTAAAATTAATAAAGCTTTTAAGAACAGTTTGCTGACACACTGCTTCAAAAGCCACTGCGGGTCAGTCTTAACATTGTGTGATCTTTTCTATAATACATAGTATTTGTTATTAGAATTGTTCTTTGGGAATTTGGGAGGGAAACACTATTTTATTTGTTACAGTTGGTGTACTCTTATTTTATTATTTTTATTATTCCTCCAAGGAGCTCAATGTGGCATGCATAATTCTCCTCCCTTCATTAAGCCCCACAACAGCCCTCCGAGGTAGGTTAGATTAGGAGATAGTGACTGGCCCAAGTTGACCCAGTGAGCTTCCTGGGTGAGGGCAGATTTGAACCCTGGCCTCCCAGGTCTTAGTCTGCCACTCTTAACTGTTATACCATACTGTATCTCTTAATATTTTACTATATAAGCCGGCTTGGATGGATTTTTATTAGGAAAGGAAGCATGCAGGTTTTTAGTTATGTAGTAACATTTAAATATTAGCTTTCCTCCAGGGACATTAAAGCAGCCGCTTTGTCCCTCTCCCCATTTTGTCCTCTAAGCAGCCCTGTGAGATAGGTTAATGATTGGCCTCAATTTCTCCCAGTGAACTTCATGGCTGAGTGAAAAAAGCTCAGAATGTGCTGTTGGGCAAAGGTTCTGAACTTCTTGAGAATCGCGTGTTGTGTGTGTGTGTTTAAAGTGTGTGTGTTTCTAGTGTTCTACAACTGTGAAGATTTGCAAAGCTTGGCGGGTGGGCTTCAGTCTCCTCCAGCAGGTCTCAAAACCCCCGTGACTCAAAATCAAAATAAATAGTGCAAAAACAAGAGAAATCATGCATATTTTGCACTGATGTTTCTCAACCCACATCTCTTCCCTGACTACAATGTTTGGTGGTGTTCTCTGCATGTGCGAGAGGCGAACATTGCATGGGCACTCAGCCTTCTCCTGTCTTTTTGGCTCCTGGAGTCATGGCCGTTATTAAGTGTAAAATTCTTTAAAACAGTCCCTATGGTAATTTTTTTTTTTTTACCTGATAACATGGGTGTATGAATTCCATGGACTCTGCTAATTTCATCCAGTAGTTGTTTAAAAGTAGTGATGTAAGAAGAAAGAGTTTTCCGTTCTGTCCTATATTCATCACATGCAGTCCTGTTCCTTTTCCATTTCATCTTCCACCAAAACCTGTGTTGTTCGTCTCACGGTCTGCTGTGGCAACATTACATTTAATTACAGAAATCACACTGCCATTACGTTCTTCCAACTCAGTTTCAGTGCAAAGGGTTGGGGGGACATGATCAGTTATGTGTCGTTTGTAGACTGAAAGCAACAACAACAACAGTGAATGCCAATCACATTCACTGGATTGATTGCTGTTCTGTTCATGGGGCAGATGAAGAAATGCTGGCGAGTTCCCTTCCCATTTCCCATTTTTGTTGGGATTCCCCAATCTCCCTATATAAAATATAATTGGAAAACACTGGAATGCATGTTTATTTACTGAACAATTATGACTCATCTACACCATGCAGGTTATGAGACGTCAGAGCTGTGTTCTGGTTTGGGTTGACTAATCAGCTGTTTCCCTCTTACATGCCTGCTGCCAAATATTGTTGATCTTCACTTTCTTCTTGCGTATCTTCCTTTGGCCAAAGCCCGTTCCTTCCCCTCCACCCCCTCCACCATTGCATTCTGCTCCTGCTGCTTGGGTATCCTAGAGAAAGACTTCGTGCTTCTCTCTACGCAAGCAGCCATTGTGCCCCTTGGCACTGCCCCTTCTCCGCTGATCCGTATAATAACCAATGGCGCTTAAGGTCAGAGGAAGCAACGGGGATGCCCTAACTCACAGGGTTGAGTTATGTGCGGCTGCCCACATTGAGAACGTCCAGGCTAATCTTCCAGGAAGGTTTGCGGACTCCCCCTCCCTCCCGCTTCACCTCGGGAGGCCCCAGCAAGCAGCACTAAAGCCAAGGCAGGACTCGGCTGATCTGTCCCAGGCCGTCTATAAACATAGCCTGCTTCCATCTGTTGGGGTTGGAAGCTGCTCATGAGGCAAGCCTTCCTGACGATTGATCACATGCTGTTGGGTAGAGTCTTAAAATAGAGATCTGCAGCAGAAGGAGGACTGGGGCAGAGTGCAGGTGAGGAGAGAAACCAGTCCTGGGCTTTTGTAGCCTTAATCTGTGATAGAGGGAGTGTATAACTTGAGCATGCATTCCCTAGAGATGTTGATGTTTGCCTGTGGATTCAGATTAGCAGGAGGCCTAGTTTTTGGGCTGTGCAGCACTGTTCTGACAGCATTGCTCCCCAGTGGTGCAGTGGGTCGGTGCGTCTGGCTATTAACCAGAAGGTTGGTGGTTCAAGCCCACCTAGGGAGAGCTGTGGGCAAGATTCCTGCATTGCGGGGGGTTGGGCTATTTTGGTTCCTTCCAACGTCTACAATTCGATAATACGATACGATAAAATGATAATGTTTATTGTCATAGTCCCATACAGAATGACAAAATTGAAAAAAATCTAAATCAGACATTCAAAAACCAACAAGCCTGCTATCCCAGCTATCCCAGCCTGGTTAACCCCCTAAAAACTCTGATACCCCATAATTAAATACAATGTACTCCCATAGAGAATACCTTACACTGCGTTTAAAACCAAAATTGCATTTGGATAGAAACTGTTTCTCAGGCAGCTAGTCCTAGTCTTTCTGTGGTTCTATTCCATGAGTGGTCTGACCCAGGCGCTTGGCATTGGGACCTGCACCCTTGTTCAACTTACTGCCAGTCCCCTTCCTGCTGACAACCCCCTTTTAAGGAATGTTTGGGGCTTTTTGCTTTAGAGCAGTGGTTCCCAAAGTAGGTGCTGCTACCCTCTGGGGGGTTGCGGTGGAGTTACCTAGGGGGAGTGCTAAGAGGCAAGCGGGTGGCAGGGAGAAGGTAGAGATGTAAAAGTCTTTCAGACTTCGAAAGGTTGGCATCACGGGATCAGGTTCACCCATTTTGTTGAATAGTCTTGATTTGATTTTGAATAAACCTGCAATTAATTGCTGCTGTTTTGACACCTGTTGTGTTATTATCATACTTAGTGGGCTGTGGAAGTTTTTATTCTGAATCATGGTTTTTATAGGGTAGGGTAAGGGGTACCAGGGATGAGATGATGGAACCAAGGGGGCGGAAAGAGTTTGAGAACCAGTGGATTAGAGAAAAGGCAAGTGAGAGAGGAAATGATACAGGTTTATTAAATGATGCAGTGTGGAGAAAGTTCATCTGGAGAGGTTGTTCTCCTTTTTTCATAATAATAATAATAATAATAATAATAATAATAATAATAATAATTTATTATTTATACCCCACCCATCTAGCTGGGTTTCCCCAGCCACTCTGGGCAGTTTCCAACAAAATATTAAAATACAGTGGTCTGTTAAACATTAAAGGCTTCCCTAAACAGGGCTGCCTTCAGATGTCTTCTAAAAGGCTGGTAGTTGTTCTTCTCTTTGACATCTGGTGGGAGGGCGTTCCACAGGGCGGGTGCCACTACCGAGAAGGCCCTCTGCCTGGTTCCCAGTAACTTGGCTTCTCGCAGTGAGGCGCTGGACCTCAGTGTCCGGACAGACCAATGGAGGTGGAGATGCTCCTTCAGGTACACATGTAATCCTCGTTTTGCGTGGAAGTTCCATCCTGGAGCCCTGCACGCATTGGCAGAGTGCACATAAGCCCGCTTTGCCCCTTTGTATGACGTTTTTGTGATGTTTGGGGGCTACTTCAGGGTTCGGCGCTGTGTGCATGATTGCTCATCATTCCGATGCGCCTAAATTGGGAGTTGCCTGGACTAGAACTCGGTAACATTCAATGAAACCAACCGTTGGAAAAATTCGGATTATTTAAAGAAATACAGTGGTACCTCGGGTTACATACCATACCATTATAAATGCCTTCCTGGGAAGGAAATTCTATAATTACAGTATGAAAGCAATGGAATCTCAGTTGCATTCCCTGCAATAGGAATAGCTTTCTTTCAAAGGAGTGCTAGTTGAAATGCAAGACTAGGCACAATAGAGTTAAAGCCCAAACATATCACTAGTTTTGTTTGTATATATGAACACGTAAATCGCTTCTGACAAGTGCTTTCTGACAAGTGTTTCCCCCCCTCCAGATGTTTCATGAAGATGCTACAGGAGGATGGCAGCTAGTAGATGTTGATGTGAATAAGCGTTACATACGCTTCAGGTTACAGATCCGCTAACCCAGAAATAGTACCTCGGGTTAAGAACTTTGCTTCAGGATGAGAACAGAAATTGTGTGGCATCAGTGCAGCAGCAGCGGGAGGCCCCATTAGCTAACGTGGTGCTTCAGGTTAAGAACAGTTTCAGGCTAAGAACGGACCTCCGGAACGAATTAAGTACCTAACCCGAGGTACCACTGTACTGTAGCGTGATGAATTCGTGAACAGGATTTGAACTACGAGCAACAGAAGGAATCGGAGATTGTCGTATTGTTGTTACGGTATAAGAGAGAGAAGATAGGGTGCAGCAAGGGGGAGAAATAAAGAACCCAATGGAAAACGGGGTGAGAAGTTGACAAAATGAAAGAAAAACTTATTACGTATTGGAAATTTTTGTGCATGTAGTTAGAACTATGGAATTCGTTCGCCAAGAGGTGCCAACCACCAACTTTTGAAAGGTGATTAGACAAATTCATGAAGGATAAGGCCTTCAATGGCTACTAGCCATGATGGCTGTTTTTCACGACCTGCATCAGAGGCAGTGTACCTCTGAATTGCTTCGGCAGAGTTTTTGTTTAGATACTTGCATTGCAGAGGGTTACTTTGGATTACAACTGTTTTGGATTACAACCACGTCAAACCCAGAAGTGTGTGTCCCTTTTTTTGGATCATAACCCATTTTTTGGGGGGAGGCCCCATTGGCGAAAGTGCACCTTGGGTGACAACCTATTATGCTTTACAACCGGACCACCAGAACGGATTATGGTTGTAAACCAAGGTACCACTGTTTAGTGATGGGTGGGAGGAGAAATTTGATTCAGTTTGCATTAAAAGTTGGACCTACCTGCTTTGCATTTTTCCAAAATCCTTCAAAATCTGTGCTTCTCCTAGTTTTGCAATGCAGTTCTCCAGCATAGACTAAGTGTGCATATAAATTCATGTATAAGTGAAAGTAACATACAAAATATTGGAGAAAGCTCTTTTTGGTGGATGGGGGGGGCAATGTGTATATTTGGAGAAATTGCAAGAAATGCAAATGAATTGCAATGAGGCCATTACCGTATTCATATTTTAGTCTTTTGCAAACTGAAATGGAAAAATGTTGGAAAACTGAACTTAGGGCTGGAAAAACGAGGAACTCAAATTGATCTATTTGCTCATCCCAGAAACCTCTGCAGTGATTTCTTGGGCAGTGGGTGGGTGTGGGTGGGTGTGAGTGCCCATTGCCGCAGGGGAGAGATGCCTGGTGGAGGAAGAGGAGATTGACTCTTGCACCCTTCTTTCTCCTGCTGCTAATGAGAGATGGACTCAGCATCTTGGGTCAGCAGTGAGCCCTCTGCTGGCCTCTCAACCTCAGAAAGCACCTAACTGTGCCAGTGTTATAGTACTTAACAATATTCTTGTCATCCTATCAACCAAATACCAAATTGTTGTAATAATGGGGGTGGGTCTCTTTTCTGGTTGGAATAGGGGGTGGGGTGGGAAATAGGCAGGCAAAAAGTTGCAGTTTGTTAATGGTGCTTAGATAGTCTCTCGCAGAGCTACAATTTCCAGCATCCTTAACGGTTCCCAGGATTATTCTTTTGGTGGGGGGAGGAATGGGGAGTCATGACTATTAAAGTGTTATTAGATTACTTTAAACATTATGATCTGGAGGTGGCTTCCCCCAAAGAATTCTCTCCAGTTTGTTAAAGACGTTGAGAGTTGTTAGGAGATACCTATTTCCTTCACAGAGCTACAGTTCTCAGAGTTCCCTGTGAAAAAAAGGATCAGTGGGTAAACCATTCTGGGAATTGTAGCTCTGGGAGGGAGAACAGGGGTCTCCTAGCTCGTCTCAGCCCCATAACGAAGTACAGCTTCCAGAATTCTTTGGGAAGAGCTTGTGACTATTTAAAGAGGCTCCCCTACTTTCCAGTGTTCTGACACACAGTGATCCTTGGATGAAGGGTGATATAGAAATTTAATAAATATAAATTTCAAAAATTGGAAAGGGAACTGGGGAGATGCCAAGCACTCAATGTAAAGGAAATCTTGCTGGTCCATGAGAAAAGGAATAATAATAATAGTAAGAGATACATCCATGGAGGATAAGGCTCCGCTGTTGGTGAGCCTTTGGCCTGGCCCAACAGTCTCTTTTTACGTTCTTCAGTACATCCTGCACGGCAGATCTTGAACTGGCAAAGCGGGTTGGAATAGATGACCCTCAAGATCCCTTCCAAACATATGATTCTATGACAGTAGGTGTATACCGCAAGGACAGCCGAGGTGATACCTTCCAGATGTTGTCAGAATAAAGTTGATCAACACTGATCATGGTCCATGCTGTCTAGGACTGCTGTTAGCTGGAGAGAGCAGGAAATAAGAACAACAACAACAGCAACAACTTATACCCCGCCCGTCTGGCTGGGCCTCCCCAGCCACTCTGGGCGGCTCCCAACAGAATATTAAAAACACGATAAAACATCAAATAATAAAACTTCCCTAAATAGGACTGCCTTCAGATGTCTTCAAAAAGTTAGATAGCTGATTATTTCCTTGACATCTGATGGGAAGGTGTTCCACAGGGTGGGAGCCACTACCGAGAAGGCCCTGGTTCCCTGTAACCTCTCAGTGAGAGAACAACCAGAAGGCCCTCGGCGCTGGACCTCAGTGTCCGGGCTGAATGATGGGGGTGGAGATGCTCCTTCAGGTATACTGGGCCGAGGCCATTTAGAGCTTTAAAGGTCAGCACCATTTGCTACCCCTGTGTATAGGATTGCAGTGTGCCGTCTCAGCGGTGTAAGCCCCACTGCACTGCTTTGTGATCCTTGTTATGACCCAGCTCCTGGAGACTTAGTGAGGAGATTTTCACATCTCTTTCTCTTTCCCTCTGCCAGCCAGCCATGCCGTCAACAAAAATCCAATGTACCCGCCATTCCCGGAAGGAATGCAGATGGCAATATTTGGTACGTGACTGGTTCTTGCTTCGTGGCCAGGTTTGAGTACAATTTCTCTCCGCCCCCGTTGGGTTTCAGTACTGGCTGTCCTCAAATCTTGCCCTAGAACAGAAAGTAATGAAATGAATCCAGAAATCATTTGGCCCACCGATGGACAGCTATGATTTCCCTGCAAAGAGAACTGTAGCTTACCCTCACAGTTGCAGTTCTTCACACCCATAACCAGTGATACTTGCCCCAGTTTCTTTGGGAGAAAGCTATGACTTTTCAAAGGGGCATAAGAGTCCTTTAAATTTATTGTGTAGGTGTGACCTGAGACAGCCATGGTGTGTTTGCTGAATGCATGAAGCATGCTCACTGGCCCTGCCCACTTCCTCTGCCCCTAGGTGTTGGCGCTAGTTTGAAAGGAGCCTTTTGTGTATTGACACCCCCCCCATCCCTGACATTGAATCTGCCATGGTTGGGGCGGAGCCAAGAGACATGGTCCCACCCCCTTCTGCATATTCAGTGAACACATTGCCTGGGGCGGGGAAACATCAGCACACACCCTTCATAGCAGTGATAAAATGCTGAAACAATTCAAAAATCCAAGAATTCTTTCTGTAGCCTATTCATAACGTTTGGGTTTTCTCCTACCTCTTTTTCTACCCAGGCATGGGGTGTTTCTGGGGAGCGGAGAGAATGTTCTGGAAGCTGCCGGGTGTCTTCTCCACCCAGGTGGGCTTCTCAGGAGGGTTTACCCCCAATCCTACCTACAAGGAAGTCCGCAGTGGTGAGTGGTTTTTCTCCCCACCTCTCTTAGTCCTTGTGGAGGGTTTCGGTTATGATCTTCTTGCCTAGTTAACCTGCGAGGTAACATCCCAACATGCAGTTGCAATCAAAATTATTAAACCCCCTTTGCAAATCGGGTTTAGTATCAAAATTTACAGGCTTTCAGCTGTTTGCAATGAACAAATCAAACAAAAGCAATTGAGGTCTGAGACTCTAAAGCAGGGCACTTTAAATCTTGTGGCCCCCAGACATTGTTGGACTCCCATCATCCCCAACCAACATGGCCAATGGATGATGGGAGTTGTTGTCCAGATATAGCTGCAGGGCCACAGGTTCCCCACTGCCAGGCAAGCCTTTCTGGGGAAGGCATTGTGTAAGCAAGATGCCGACAAAAAGGCTGTTTTCCTAGCAGCCACCCACCTCTCATTCCATTGGGCAAGGTATCTAAGGAAGCTAAAACTAGCATATGTTTGCATGTTTGACGTACTTAATTCTGGTTCCGGAGCCCACGAGAAGTGGCAGGCTGCCCTTCCTCTGAGGTTTTTAAGCAGTGGTTGGATGGCCATCACTCACGTATGATCTAGTTCAGGCATCCCCAACCTTCAGCCCTCCAGATGTTTTGGACTACAGTTCCCATCATCCCCGACCACTGGTCCTGTTAGCTAGGGATCATGGGAGTGGTAGGCAAAAACATCTGGAGGGCCGTAGGTTGGGGGTGCCTGTCCTATTTGATATTCCTTCATTGAACTTGGTGACCCTCTGGGTCCTTTCCAACCCTACAATTCCATGACGGAGATCGTTTTTAAGATGGAGCCCCATCTCCTGCCGATTGGAAAACCAGTCGCCTGGACACTTCTGCATTCCAGAGGTCAACCAGGCAAGAATACCAGTCTGCTAAGAACAGGCATAGGACTCAAAAGTAGAGGTGGGGCCCATAATAATAATAATTATTATTATTATTGTGGGGCTGGTTTCCCCAGCCACTCTGGACGGCTTCCAACAAAACACTAAAATACAATAACATATTAAGCATTAAAAGCTTCCCTAAACAGGGCTGCCTTCAGATGTCTTCTAAAAGTTTCTCTTTGACATCTGGTGGGAGGGTGTTCCACAGGGTGGGCGCCACTACCGAGAAGGCCCTCTGCCTGGTTCCCTGTAACTTGGCTTCTCACAGCAAGGGAGCCGCCAGAAGGCCCTCGGCGCTGGACCTCAGTGTCCGGGCTGAACGATGGGGGTGGAGACGCTCCTCTAGGTATACTGGACTGAAGCTGTTTAGGGCTTTAAAGGTCAGCACCAACACTTTGAATTGTGCTCGGAAACGTACTGGGAGCCAGTGTAGGTCTTTCAAGACCGGTGTTATATGGTCTCGGTGGCCGCCCCCAGTCACCAGTCTAGCTGCCGCATTCTGGATTAGTTGTAGTTTCCAGGTCACCACATAGAGCACATTGTAGTAGTCCAAGCGAGAGATAACTAGAGCATGCACCACTCTGGTGAGACAGTCTGCGGGCAGGTAGGGTCTCAGCCTGCGTACCAGATGGAGCTGATAAACAGCTGCCCTGGGATTCTCAACTTCCATCAGCTCCAAGTTAGCACAGCCAATGGCCAGGGTTGATGGGAGCTGTGGTTCAACAACATCTGGAAGGCCAGGTTTTGCCCCACCTCTGCTCTAACAAAGAGGTAGCCCTCTGGACATTCTTGGATGACAACTTCTATCATGCCTGACTGTTGGTCCTGATGGGAAACTAGGAATGTCAGGAGTGCACCGCATTGGCTAGCCCTGCTGGAGAGAAGAAGCAGTTGAGGTGCCCCTCTTCCGAAACATTAGCATCAACTCATGTGTTTGGCTTGGTAAAGGGAGGTCGCCTTGGCCTTATTTGGGCCTCCCCATCAGAATCTGGAGCAGCTGCGGAAGGGTGTGAGGGCCCCCTGTTGTTAATGAGAGATAGCACTACCCTTTTAGTAATATCAGTGCAGGATGTGGCTGCCCCATTTTCCCCTCGGCACGCCAATGCATTTATTGGTGAAGTTAATCCCCCTCCCCCGCAACATCCCCAACCTGGATCAATCAGAACAGACGGTTTTGCAGCTTATCTGTGAAAACATTTTGAGTGCTGGTACAGGGGATTATCTGTCTGCAAGAAATATTATCCACGTCTGTTGTCTACATTCTGGGTATTAACACAATGCAGCTGGGAAAAGGAGGGGCTGTAATTATTTTATTTATGGGAAAGTATTTCTAGGCTGCCATATTATAAACTTTCAGGGCGCGGTGTACTATGAAAAAAACATGGTTTAAAACAATACAAATAACCATTAAAGGGACTGGCTAATTAAACGGATGAAAAGGCCTATTGACATAATAATAATTAATAATAGTTTTATTAATTTGTACCCTGCCCACCTGGCTGGGTTTACCCAGCCACTGTGGGTGGTTTCCAGCAAAATATAAAAAAGAATTTTATGTCAGACCTTAAAAACTTCCCTGAATGGGGCAGCCTTCAGATGTTTTCTAAAAGTTGTGTAATTCTTCTATCTCCTTTTTTAAAAAATGCTTTTTAAAAATGCCTGAAAGTCCAGAGGGAATATAGGTGCTGAATCTCTGCTAAAGTTGGCTCCCACAGCAAAGGGTGGATCACACTAAATCCCCAAACTTTCAGCTGAGGCCATTTTGGTTTCTGTAACATGGACATCAGCTTACAGCGCTCCTCCGGATGATCTCAGTGATCGAGCTGGAATATAATGGCTCAGGTTTTTCTTAAGGATCTCTCTCTCTCTCTCTCTCTCTCTCTCTCACACACACACACACACACACACACACACTTACCCCCCCCTTGGGAAGAAGTCATCTGAAGAGATTACAGTGGGTCATGCAGGACTTGGAGTGAATGCCTGACTGACAAAATTTTCATGTAAACCAACGATAAATATTTGTTGGATTTTGAATAGCGTTCTGCCCACAGCTACTGCTGTCTGGTTGGCAGCCATTTTTGTACAAATGTAATTTAATTCTTTCTCTCCAGTTCCGACCATAGTAAAGGTAAAGGTACCCCTGCCCGTACGGGCCAGTCTTGACAGACTCTAGGGTTGTGCGCTCATCTCACTCTAGAGGCCGGGAGCCAGTGCTGTCCGCAGACACTTCCGGGTCACGTGGCCAGTGTGACAAGCTGCATCTTTTTTACTAACATTTTTGTTTTATTTTTATTTAACTTAAAGAACGAGAGGATTAGACAAATGGAGGATGAGGCTCTCTGTGGCTTCTACACACAATGACTGTGTTTTACCTCCCCTGGCAGAAGGATGAATCGGAATCCCAGTCACTTGGTGTCAGAAGTGGGGAGGGAGCTGCTGCCCTCAGGTCCTGCTTGCTGCATCCCCATCAGCATCTAGTTGGTCACTGTGAGAACAGGATGCTGGTCTAGAGCTGGGCTGATCCAGCAGGGCTGTCCTCATCTCTTGCCCTCCTAATGAAACGGTAGTCTTGTTTGCAATTGCTGTGCTTGGCTATTTGGGGTAGCAGCTCTTTTGCCCGGCCTTGCTGAACACACCCTTCTCCTTCTCTCTCACTGGTTGGCTGGCTGCAGATAAAAGAAGGCAACAGACTCTTATCTCTTCATCCCCCCCCCCCCCATACATACATACTGTGTTGGGCTGCGAATGTAGCAGAGATGCATCTAATTATAACCTGTCTCTGAGCTTAACCCTTCCCTAACTGGTCTGAGATGATGCATCTCCAGATAGAGAGAGAGAGAAGAGTGTCCTGCTCTTGCTTTTCAAATTTAAGTCTGTATCTGCTCCCTGGGTGCCATCTGGGAGGAAAAGAGACTAGGTGATCCTTTGGCATCTCTGGGGAGGAGAAGCGAGGCCTGATCTTAAGTAATACTGGTGCAGATGTTAAAATCCCCAGCTCAGGATTAAATGTCTTATTTTTGGTTAGGACTCAGATATGGGGAACCTGTGGCTGCCCCCTGGATGTTGCTGGAAAACAACTCCCACCATTCCTGACACCACGCTAGCTGAGGCGGATAGGAGTTGAGTAACAGGACAGAGGGGCACCAGTTTCCTATCCCTGGGCTGGAAGCTGCCATATTTTGAAGAGCAAAAAAGAGGAAACATTTGCCGACTTCTCCTGTTAACTATGGTCTCTGCAACGACTCCACCCCTGAAAAAGAGGACTGTATTGTGTTAAGTGAGTAGGGAAGGAGGTTCAGTTGCCTTGCAGGAAACCACTTGGTGTTAGCACCCTACAGAGCTTTCTTATCTAAAGGGGTCAGTCGGCATCATTTCCCTTGCCCATATGTACAGTCAGTGTCAGTGTCAAGAGGCGGCTTCGTTGGGCAACTGCTGAAGCCCACCCACACCCCTATAGGAGTCCTGCTGTTTCCACCCAGGGCCTCACAGACCTGCTCTTCCACCTTGCTTTTGCTACCTGGCTTATTACAGAATGCACCCTATGCACAAACCAGATGATCTCGTCACCCCAAGCAGGGCTGGCATCATGAGCTGGCACCTGGCAAGCCCCTCTCTAGTAGCAGGGCTGTCTCAGCTTAGCCCCCTACGCCCTGTCTTCATTGCCTCTGCTCCACATTCCTGTTCGACTGCCCTCTCCTGGTGCACAAGCAACGACAAGAGCAGCAAGCAGCCTCTGCTTGCTTTGACCTCTCCACCTGGATAGACTGGGCCTTGGAGGGTGAATTGGCAGTGATAACAAATGAATGGGCAGGTGAGGACAGGAGCAATAGTACTGGAATACTAGAGTAGAGAGGGCCTGTTCTAGAATCTGGGTTTGGCCTGGTTCTTTATTACCACTGCTAAATGGTCAGGGCATAACCTAGGGTTTATTTTAACCCTTGCGCCCCCAGTGCAGCGCACCTTCTCCTTCATCCTTTACCTACAGGTAGTTTTGCAGCAAAGCTCAATCAGCACACCCAGGCAGGCAAAGTTGGCTTAACTGTGGCTGTGCTTCAGATCATAGTGGTGACATCAGCTCCCCCCGCCCCACCCCACCCTGCCCCGGGCTTGTGCCTATCCATGCTCCTTCTGCTTTTGCCTTTCAAGGCTGTTGGAGGAAAAGTTTTGCCAAACAGTGTAGGGATTCTGGCGTGCAGCTATGCAGTGCCTCCTTGGGTGCAGCAGAGGGCAAGAGATGCACGGCCATGCGCATCGGCACGCTGCACCAGCTTCGAGATGCAGGCCTATTTTGAGGCTGCAGCTGCAAATCTCTCTCTGCCGCAGGGGAGTGTGATTCTCAACACACACACACTTTTTTGTGTGTGTGCTGGAGGGAGGAGTGTTGCTTTGCTAGCGTGGCTGCTCCCCGAGCCACACAACTCCTTGCTCTGCCTGCAGACCTTGACCTGCCAAGCAGAAGACGACGGGGAGCAGGGGTGGGGGTGGGAAGGCTTTGCCCTTCCCTTTTGCTTGTGGTCCCCACCTTAATGCATCCTGGGCGAAAGAGCCTGTGGCTGTTCCCCATCTGCTCCTCCCCATCCGCCTGTATATAGGGCAGCTCTCAGCAGGCGCTAGTGGCTCGCTCGGCTGCCTCACTCATCACATTGCACGGCAGCCCCTCCTTTTCCTCTTAATTACCGTGTGAGGGGCAGCAGGTTTGCTTGAGCAAAATTAACTGGAAACTGCTCAAGGGAAATGGCCTCCCCAGAAGCATCTCCAGCCCTGTTGGGGTGGGGGAGGTGTTGCGGTAGTGAGCAGGCTCTCCCCCATCCCCATCCCGACTTTTCAGCTACTACCAATAGGGAAGGAGGCTCTGGGTTAACCCTTGCAGTGTTGCTTGCCTTGGTTCTATCTTCCCTAATCCACCCGCATGCATAAAATTCTGCTCAGTGCTGTTAAGGCGGATGCAGGATTTGTTTTGCTTGGAGGGGGGGGTTCAGCCATCAGTTGGCCAACTGTTTGTTTCGGAGTTTGGAGAATACCTGGGTGGCATGCAGAAATGCGATGCTAAACATAATGCAGATCATAGAACAGTTTGGTGAGGCTTACTCTGCATAATGCAGATGCGGTCCTATACGCAGGCATAGCGGGAGAAGAAGGAGGGCCTGCTGGATCAGGCCAGTGGCCCATCTAGTCCAGCATCCTATTCACACAGTGGCCAGTCAGGTGCCTGTGGGAAGCCTGCAAGCTAGACCTGAGCACAATGGCCATATTGCCTTCGCTGGTCTGGATCTTGCGTAGCGCTAAGCCAAACTATGCTGCTGCCATTCTGTTGAGAGCTAAGCTGTGGTTTGGCTTAGTGTCATGCCCGAACCCAGGCTCCTGGTTTGTCTTGCTCCAAATGCATCACAAGCTGTAACCGAGACTTGTCCTTGGCTTGCTTCTCATGGTTTGTTTTCGGGAGACCAACCATGAGCCTAAGTTCCGATATGAAGCTAAGCCAAACCATGGGATAGCTGTCGGTATCAATGGTGGCAGCTGGACCAAGGGAAGAGCAAAGCGACTATCTTCTAAATGTGCATGCTTGCATGTTCATGCTTCTTGGTGCTGATCCCAGCCGCCTTGCTGTAAGCTCTGGTCAGCCACTAGGGGCAGATATCAGGTATTTTGGCCCACAGGCCAGACTTCCCAACTTGGAATTCTGTAGCGCAGCTGATCCCTGCCCAAAACAGGCTAGTTGTAAGCACCAATCAGCTGATGGGCACTACAGCAATCCCTCCTGGGAACAGCGCTTACAACAAGCCACTGTGCTAATCCAAAGGAGCAAGGGAAATTTCAGGCTTACGGAATAACAATCTATTCCTCCACCTTCTTTGTTCCCAGGGATGACAGGACATGCGGAAGTGGTCAGAGTTGTGTTTGACCCACAGATCATCAGCTACGAGGACCTTCTCAAGTTTTTCTGGGAGAACCACGATCCAACCCAAGGTAACGTCTCATGTCGGAGGAAAGGGAATGACGAGAGCTCTAACTGGCCTAGATAGAGCAACTTTCCCCAACTCAATGCCAGAATTAAGTACCATGAACAACATCAGCTTGCAACAATTTCCAGCAGGAACCTTTCTCAGCCCGACCTGGACATCCCTGGGATTGAACCTGGAGCCTTTTATGGGCAAAGCCTGTGCTCTTGTCACAGAGGTACAGACTTTCCATTTCTAGATCTGCAAGAATCTCAGTGGTCTGTAGTTATTTGCTGTCCCAGCACCATGAAGGGGGAAACTGGGACAGTAATCTAGTAATGCTGGAGGGAACCTGTGGCCCTCCAGAAGTTGCTAGGCTACAATTCCCATCATCCGTGACCAATGGTTGTGCTAAGTAAGCCATTTTTCTAAGTAGGGTGCCACCACAGAGCAGGCCCCGTCACTGGTTGCCACTCGCCTAACCTCGGGGTGGGGGCAGCCAAAGCAGGGACTTAAGGAATAGTCGGCTTCATGTGGGAGAGGGCTGATCTTTCAGCTATACCTTGCTTGTAAGCCACATAGAGCATTGTGCCTAGAATGGCATGGAAGCTGATGAAGATGTCCTAACCCTGGCTTAAGGGGGAGAGACCATGGTTTAGTAGTAGAGCACACCCATTGTCCCTGGTTTGACCCTTGACATCTCCACTTAGAAGAATCAGGTGATGTGAAAGACCTCTACCTGAGACAAAGGAGGGATGGAGCAATCTATTCCTGACATATGTCAATCCTGCATGTGTTAAGTCATAAGTCTGTTCTGCTCCACTCATCTGTGATTTCCTCCCCCTCTAAAAGAAGACCTGCATGGATATTCCCACTTAAATTTTCATTTTAAGTAGTATTTACGTGTTTTATTATCAAAAAGCATCTTTAAATGTGTATCCTTATGTATTGCGCCGCTTTGTTTCACCCTAAGATCACACATTTTAAAATGCATTTTGCTATGTGTGGGCTTTTTTCCTTTTTGAATGGAGAACTCTCATTCCAGAATTCGGGAGATGCGACGGATAGTTGCATCATGGTTTGCTCATTTGTCTGGGTAGGAGCAGAACAGGTGCACGAGGGTTCTATAGCACTCGTAGATTCCTCAAGCATCCTTACCTGAGACCCTGGAGAGAAGCTGTCTGTCAAACCAGACACTAGTTGGGTTAGAACTACAAACGATTTGACCCGGTCTATGGCAACTCCCTGAGTTCCTCAGCTTTCTTGGCTCTTGCTAGCAGGAGGACACGTGATGCGGCAAAGCTTGCAGATACTGTGCGGGTCTGGATCTGGGCAGAGTCTGGTTGGGCACTGCCTGGGAACTCCACCTCTGTCCCCTTGAGTCAGGCTATCGATGCTAGATCCTCGGGAAACGCTGGGCAGAGCCACAGAACAGCACACAGCAATTTGCCCAGGTAACTTCATGCAGAGGACATGCAAAGCTCTTCACCCTGGAAGGTTTTGCTAATGCCTCTTCTAAGGGGCTGCTGTGTTTTGTTCACAAGCCTATAACGAAGCTTGTCGGGCTGCCTCCATTTTCAACCCTCTGCTTTTAAGGTAGTTGTCTCTTTAAGTGCCTTCCAGTCTCCCCCCCCCCAAACACAGGGGTGGGGTGGGGAATGGTGAGGATGTTGAAGGGAGGGGGGCCATGGAAGGAGAAGGGAGATCAGTTGCAAAGAAGAGGGCAATGGGGACTTTTAATGTTCTCTCTCTCTCCCTCCCTCCCTCCCTCTGTGTGTGTTTAATAACCGGGAGGTGTGGGGGGGAGGCCTGTTTGAAACCCGCCTCACGTCAACACTGAGTGACAGCAAGGCATAGGGGGAAGGGTTAGAGGCTTGGGGAAGGCTGAGCCTTTTTTTTTTTTTTTTTTGTAATGAAGTGTAATTTTAATGAGGAGATTAGCATTCTCTCTGTGTCACCGGCAGGGCACTCCTCTGGGTTCGTAATTGCGTGTGGGTGCTTTAATGAGTTGCGTCTGCGTCGATGGCTTTATTTATTTTTAAAAAACCATTTATATCCCGCTCTTCCTCCCCAAGGAGATCAGTGCGGGGTGTGCGTGTGTGCGCACACAGACACATACATGCATTAATATGTATACACCATATATATGGTGCTTTTTCGTTGTTGTTACAGTAAGTGCCACACTTTTAACATTTTTTTGGGGGGGGTGCTGGTACTACATACCTTTGAGTACCCCCAACAATATGATGATACGAGCATATGACATGACAAAGCTCACAGCTTATTACGGGGGCAGACAGCTTTGAACTCAGACAGAGCCACTGTTGGACTTTGCAAGTTTGGAGAAGGTTACTCCCCACCCCCGCATCTCATAATGGTCCCTTGTGACACCTGTCCACCACCTAACCACTAGGCAGCGCTGCCTCCAGCTTTGCTGATTCACCAGGGAACTTAGGAAGCTGCCTTATACGGAGTTAGATCATTGGTCCTTCCAGCTCAGTATTGACTACACTGGTGTTTTTTCAATCTCGGAGTCCCCAGTGTGGGTAGACTACAGTTCCCATCATCCTTTATTTACCATTGCACTAAGCAGACTGTGGATGATGGGAATTGTAGTCTACCCACATCTAGGGACCCAAGGTTAGAATTGTAGCATTGTAGAGTTGGAAGGGACCCTGAGGGCATTTAATTCAACCCCTTGCAAACATAGGAATCTCAACTAAGGTTGCAGAACACTGCTCTACACTGAGAGGCAGCAGCTCTCCAGGGCTTCCATGTTTATCTGTGATTCTCACAAAGCCTCCATTTAAACACATATTTTTGAATGTATTTTATGTCACATTTTGAAGTCATTTTGCTATTTCTTTTGAGTCAAGAATTGCATTGCAAAATTCAGAGCAGTATGAAATTCCCACTTGCCCGAAAAAGCTACATTCTGATCCACACATTAGTTTAGGAAGTGCAAATGAGGTCACTTTTTTTGTGCTGTATCAGGATTTGCAAAAAATGAATTCTTCAAGCAGCCGTCGGCATAAGAATGACTGATGTGTCCCTTAAGACATGCCTTAATAAATCCTTGGCCATGAGGCCTAGGATGCTGTTGATGCTCATTTAAAACTAAAACAAGTAAAAACATTCAAATACATCTGTAACCCATCATCATAATTCAGCAAAAAAAAATCTTCTCCTTGAAAAACTGCATCAGATTAGCTGACCCAATTAAAATACCGGCTGATTTTTAAAAAAATGTTAGCAATTAAAACAGGAAGAAAAAACTGCTTAAAAGTCTGGAAGGAAAGAAATGGCTTTGCTTGGTGCCAAAAAGAATTGCAAAGTGGGTGCCCAGAGATCCTCTTTAAGGAGAGCATTCCACAAGCACGGGGCTACTACTGGAAAGACTCCTCTGCTTTTGCCACCCTCCAGATCTCAGCATGAACGGTACCTGGAGGATAGTTTCAATGAGGAGTCCAGGCTCCCTCGATATTCCACAGCCCGGCAGGCCCTCTTATAGCAGCAGCGGGCTCCGGTGGGCCTTTTGGAGGCTGCGACAGGCCCCTTCAGTCCTCGTCCCGCCATGTGTCTCACACACATGCTGTGTCCCCACCACCAGCAGCCTTGGGCGCTACCCAGGATGCCTGGTGTCCAATAATGACCTTAGGGCCTGGATAGCTTATATGGAGAGAATCTCTCCATTGGCTATTGGGCCCTCATGCTGTGTTAAGACAGCACCTTGAATTTGGCCTGGAAATGTAATGGCAACCAGTGAAATCAAAGGCAGGCACAATATGTTCCTTTTGCCTAATCCCTGTGGGTTTACCTTGCTTGCCTAGGCAGATTTGTGCAGTAGCATCCTGGAAACGGCGACGCTGGTCCATGCAAACTGCCAGCTGATGGCTCCTTCCTCATGGAAGCTGTTTTGTAGGAGCGAGCCCAGCTCCTTAGTCCAGAGCTATAAGCACAAGCCAAGAATACCATTGTTACATAATAAGAGCTGTGCTGGCTCAAGCCAAAGGCCAGTCCTGCTCAGCAGCGTCTTCTCACAGTGTCCAACCAGATGCCTGCAGGAAGCCTGCGAGCATCAGCAACTCCCCCCCCCCACCTCTGGTATCTGGTGATCTCCTCTGCCAGTGGAAGTAAAACAGAACCATTGAGGCTAATAGACATCAATAGCCTTGCCTTCCATGGATTCGTCTAATCGTCCTTTAAAGCCACTCAAGATTGAGGTCATCACTGTGTCTTGGGAGAGCGAATTCCATAATTTAACTCTGTGCCTTGTGACAAAGTATTTTCTTTTATCTGTCCTGGATCCTCAAAACACATTCAGCTTTGTTGGTTGCCCCTAAATTCTGGTGTTATAAGAATTATCCTCATCGTGCCTCAATTTGTTCATCTTTTGCACGTTCCTTCCTACTTGCCTTTTCTCTCTCAACTAAAAAGACCCCAGTGTTGCAACCTCTCAAGTCACATCAATTTTTCGATCATTTTGGTTGCTCTTTCCTGAACCTTTTCTAGCTCTACAATATCCCTTTTTTAAAAAAAAACAGCAACAACAACTTTTGTTTAGAACTATGTATGGGTAGAAAAACATATCCTAATTGTATATATTCTTACTAGAGCAAGAATAGCGTTTGCAAAACTTGGAGAAGGAATTTGAGCCCCAACAGCATTGGGATCAAACTTGAAATCGTTAAATTGCCTATGTGTGTGTGTGTGTGTGTGTGTGTGTGAAATTATAGATTAAATTGGCTCAGCAGGGACTCAGTAAATCAGTTTATAAGGCTAAATTTGGCTTTAAAAGAAGAATTATATGATATTGTGATAACGGGAAAGGTTGGGGTGTTAAATTTTTTAGTTAAAATCTATGAAAAAGAAGAATGATACTGTGTAAATAGTTGCCAAGTAGTGATTTTTGTCATACGATAATATTTTTTTAAATCCGCTTTTTCCCTACCATGAGCAATTTTACAGACCATTGCCATGTCCTTAAGGAGGAGTACCATGAAGAGGAGTTCAGGGGATTAAAAAACAATAATAATTTTACAAGTTGTGTGTCTTTGCTTCTCAATTTGTATTGTGTTATTTTATGCACTGTGACTTGCTGCTATTTTTATTGCTTATAGTCTAGAAGTTATTTATTGTAACTGTGAAGAGTGAATTTCTGTTTAGCTATTTTTGGGGGGAGGGCTGATATTTAATTTTACTGTGCACTCTTATATCCTAATGGATTATTGAATATTACTCATATCAAATAAAGCAATATGAGTTGTTTATTTTAAACCTATGTTTTTATTATGACGTTTCTGCATTGGATCGGAGGTGTGCAATCTTTGTTGCTTCTTCAGCTTGTAAAACCGCCTCACACACAGTAATACAGAAAGGCGGTGTACAAATTACAAGTGAAATGGAAGTGAGATGAAATGTCCTCCTTTATTGGCCTGCTGTGTCCAGATAGGCCAGGCTTAGGCAAACTCTGCCTTCCAGATGTTTTGGGACTCCAACTCTCATCATCCCTGACCACTGGTCCTGTTAGCTAGGGATGATGAGAGCTGTAGCCCCAATACATCTGGAGTGCCGAGTTTGCCTATGCCTGAGATAGGCAAGAGCTGTAACTCAGTGTTAGAGAGCATCCGCTTTACATGGATAACGTCGCAGGTTCAATTCCCAGCATCTCCACGTAGGCCTGGGGATGTCCTCTGCCTGAAAGCTGCTGCCTCTCCATGTAGACAGTACAGTGGTACCTCGGGTTACATACGCTTCAGGTTACAGACTCCGCTAACCCAGAAATATTGCCTTGGGTTAAGAACTTTGCTTCAGGATGAGAACAGAAATCGTGCTCTGGCAGCGCGGTGGCAGTGGGAGGCCGCATTAGCTAAAGTGGTGCTTCAGGTTAAGAACAGTTTCAGGTTAAGAACAGACCTCCAGAACAAATTAAGTTCTTTTTTTTTTTATAAGATATTTATTAAGATTTTCAAAATGTTACAAAACAAAAACAAAAGAAGAAAAAAGTACAAAATAAAAATGGCTAAAAACAACTCAATCTTTCCATTACTTATTTTTCATTAGCTTATTTCCCGGACCTCCTCACGCCTCCCTTTTTTGTATTCCAGTTCAGTTTGTTGGTTCAGCAAATCCTTACCCTCTTTGTTTATCCTAGTCTTTAAACTTAAAATATTGTAACGTTAATTTTTTACCTATTAATAATCCATTTTTCATATTCCCTTATAGTATTACAGCTGAAAACCACTTAATTTCTATCCAACATCTTTCTAACATTCATTAATTTTACAATATTTCTGTAGATAGTCCTTAAATTTCTTCCAATCTTCTTCCACTGACTCTTCTCCCTGGTCTCGGATTCTGCCAGTCATTTCCGCCAGTTCCATATAGTCCATCACCTTCATCTGCCATTCTTCCAGAGTGGGTAGATCTTGTGTCTTCCAATACTTTGCAATGAGTATTCTTGCTGCTGTTGTGGCATACATAAAAAGTTCTATCCTTCTTTGGCACCAATTGGCCGACTATGCCTAGGAGAAAGGCCTCTGGTTTCTTCAAGAAGGTATATTTAAATACCTTTTTCAATTCATTATATATCATCTCCCAGAAAGCCTTAATCCTTGGGCACGTCCACCAAAGGTGAAAGAATGTACCTTCAGTTTCTTTACATTTCCAACATTTGTTATCGGGCAAATGATAAATTTTTGCAAGCTTGACTGGGGTCATGTACCACCTGTATATCATTTTCATAATATTCTCTCTTAAGGCATTACATGCCGTAAACTTCATACCTGTGGTCCATAATTGTTCCCAGTCAGCCATCATTATGTTATGTCCAACATCTTGTGCCCATTTGATCATAGCAGATTTCACCGTTTCATCCTGAGTATTCCATTTCAACAGCAAGTTATACATTTTTGACAAAATCTTAGTTTTGGGTTCTAACAGTTCTGTTTCTAATTTTGATTTTTCCACCTGGAAACCAATTTTCTTGTCCAAATTATATGCCTCCATTATCTGATAATAATGAAGCCAGTCTCGCACTTTGTTTTTTAATTTCTCAAAACTCTGCAATTTCAGTCTATCTCCATCTTGTTCCAGAATTTCCCAATATTTCGGCCATTTGGCCTCCATATTGAGCTTTTTCAGAGCTTTCGCTTCCATCGGTGACAGCCACCTTGGGGTTTTATTTTCCAATAAGTCCTTATATCTTATCCAAACATTAAACAATGCTTTCCTGACAATATGGTTTTTAAATGCCTTATGTGCTTTGACCTTATCATACCACAGATATGCATGCCATCCAAATACATTGTTAAAACCTTCTAGGTCCAAAATGTCAGTGTTTTCAAGAACAAATTAAGTTCTTAACCTGAGGTACGACTGTACTGAGATGGACAGAGCAATAGCAGCATCCTTGTTCCATCACACCACAAGAGTCTCTGCCCCATCTCTGGTAACATTGACGTCTCCTGTGTGGTGCTCCCTCCAAGCACTGCTTTCTCCCTGGGCTCAATTCTCTGTGTTCCAGATGAGGGATTCGTAATATATTCACATTACGCAGACACAGGATGGGCTGGGCTGACAAGTCACACAGCGGGCACAGTGGATTTGTTGTGCCTAGGTGATTAACAGCCTTTCCCATGAGGGGAATAGCAATCGTTTGCTCATGGCTGGGAGGCAGAGGGGGCAGGGGGAAAGTGCGTCAGTATGAATACATGGGGGCAGGCCAGGGTTTGGTGAGGACGGTCAGCCGGGGGAAGAGCACAACTCAATGGGAGAGTATGCCTTTGGTTGGCTGAAGGTTTCAGGTTGAAGAGGAACAGTAGGCCAGCCTTCTCTAACCTGGCATCCTCCAGAAGTGGTTGGACTCCAACTCCCATCATTCCTTACCAGTTGTACTAGGGCTGATGAGACCTGGAGTTCCACAACATCTGGAGGACATCTGGGTAGAGAAGGCTGCTGCAGAGAATCCTGGGCTAGATGAACCAATAATCTCATCCCACCATCCCTGACAAGTGACCATTCTGACTGTGGCTGATGGGAGGGTGCCGCAGTGGCTGCCCCGGCTTATACCCGCAGATTCAATAGTTGGCGGAAAGTCCAGAACTCCAGTTTTTACCAGTTGCTGCTGAACAAGGGTGGCTGCCTTGCAAGTCTGCTTCTTTTAACAACCGCTATCTTTCCAGGCATGAAGCAATACGAAGACGTCGGCACCCAGTATCGTTCAGCCATCTATCCCATTGGAGCTGAGCAGCTGGAATCTGCCCTCAGATCCAAGGAGATGTATGAGCAGGTATGGGAGATATGGGCATTTGGATGGGGGAAGGTTGGAGGGTAAGGACACCTTAAGTTGCCTTGTGTGATCGGTCCGTTTCGCCCCCATGTTAGCACTCTAAGGTCTGAGACTAGGACCTGGGTAGCCCATGTGGTGGTCATCAGCAGCTCCCATCAGCCTCAGCCAGCATGGCCACTGGTCAGGGATCATGGAAGCTGTAGTCCAGCTACATCTGGAGGGGCTACTCCTGGGTTAGGTTCTTTTGCAGCCCAGCTGACATCTTTCAGCTAAAGATTCCTGGGACTGAACCCAGGACTTGCGGTATGCAAAACGTGTCCCGCTATTGTCCCACTGTGCTGTTACTCCTTGAGTCTGGTGATAATGAAGAAACCTGCTTAACAGCGCTTGTGCCCCATAACCCTAAAAAAAGAGCTCAGCAGCTATTCTGCAGCCATAAAGCAAACCTGAGAATGTATCTCATTTATGATCAAGGACTTTGTGTATGCCAGTGCAGAAGCCCATTCAAGTGCAAAGTAAGATCTTGGTTTCAACACCCATCTTGCTTGCTTGCAGTTATAATTGTGAAGATCATCTTAAAAGTGAGTGGGAAGGGAAGTTAGTGGAGCCTTCAAAACATTCATCACTGTGAAAAGTTCTCCGTCTTTGGCCACTTCCTGATACACATCAACACAGCTGCTTCTGTGGCAGATGGGTGGGGTATAAATAATAATAATAATTTATTATTATAATATCTTCCTGCAAAGGAATGCCATTGCCCCACAGTGAACTGCCAATGCAAACATTCACTGGCTTCCTTTGAGCTTTGAGGCCCTGGGCCAAATGCACCGACCCACACCCCAATTGGCCCTGGTTATGCTGGCTGGGGCTGCTGGGACCTGGAGTTCAAAAACTCTACAGGGCATCAGGTTGGGGAAGGCTGCCTTGAACTGTTTGTGTCCTGACTATCCCAGGAAAACACACTTCCTATCCAAACTGCCAGGAGACTTAAGATAGCAAATAAAGCCCTGCTGAGAGAACCATCAGGTGCAGAAGCAAGGCTGGCTGCTGTAAGAAGCAGCATCTTCTCTGCAGGGGTCTTGGACTACAATTCCCATCGTCCCTGACCACTGGTCCTGCTGGCAAGGGATGATGGGAGTTGTAGTCCAAAGACAGTTGGAGACCCAAGTTTGGGAAACCCTGCTCTGGAAGCTTGTGAGAGTCCATCTGTTGTCTTTTCAGGAGGCAGGGGGAAGAGGTTTCTCTTTTGCTGTGCCTTTGAGGGGTGGGGAGCAAAGCTCCTGTTAGCAGGATCCTGGTGCTGGGATCCGCCCCCCCCCCCATGGCTTGCATGCTTGTTAATATTGCTTAATATTTTAATCCTCCTTATGTAGGTTGATGTTGCCACCTGTTTTGGAAATGGGTGTTGAAAGGCGGTTTATAAAATCCCCTAAATCAAAAGGTCCCAGGGGAGATATTCGCCCGCTGTTTCGTTGCTGACATTTTCATAGGACCTGAGATACCAATGGGGCTTTTGGGGACACACACACACACACACACACACACACACACACACACACATGCCTTGTTTCTTTGCCCTCCGGTAAATAGGACTTGCCCTCTGAGCCATGCCCACAACAAAGGCAGGCGGGAGTGCATGCAGATAATTGCTCCTCCAAGGCCATATGTGTACTATGGGCTGGAAAAGAGGGGTTGCGCCGGGGGCGGGGAGAGAGAATATGTTGGTTTCCTTGGCAACTTGCCACCGCTGCAATTGGCAGCTAGGGTGCAAAGGTCAGCGGCACAGGCAGGTGTAGCCTCTCCACCCACCGCCCCTTTCAATGTGATTCATTGCCGTAAGCCGTTTGCCCCTCCCCCGCACCGGCCGCCATTGCAGAAGCAATTAAGGGCAACCCTACTTGGAATCGGCACGTGCTGGGCAGACGTCGGCGTGTGCCTGAACCGGAGGGGAGGAGGTGTGTGAGGATGGGGCGCAGGGTTTGGGTGAGGGGGTTGTTGTAGGCAGAGCTGGTTGAACAGCAGCCTCTGGTGAGGAAAGAAGCTCCACATTTGCAGGCTGTTGGGAAGAGGTGAGATCAAGGGCAACCAGGATGACTTTGGGAAGCTTCCGTCTTCCTAGGTCGAGCCACAGTGAGATGCTTCTGACTACGGATGGACAGATCGGTCAATTTCAGTTTCTCTAATATTTTCAAGCTTAAGGTCTGTTCTCCACATTTCCACATCAGCTTGCAAATTCCAGTTTAACGTCCTCTTGGGTAGGCAAACTAAGGCCCGGGGGCCGGATCCGGCCCAGTCGCCTTCTAAATCCTGCCTGCGGACAGTCCAGGAATCAGCGTGTTTTTACATGAGTAGAATGTGTGCTTTTATTTAAAATGCATCTCGAGGTTATTTGTGGGGCATAGAAATTTGTTCATTCCCCCCCAAGTTTAGTCTGCCCACAAGGTCTGAGGGACAGTGGACCGGCCCATGGCTGAAAAAGTTTGCTGACCCCTGTCCTAAATATTCACATTTTTGTGTGCGGTTTTGCCAAACATGCGCATCTTTTCAAACAGGTTTTCCCTAATACGATGCATCTTTGATCCCCCCGCATCTGCAGGTAGAAGGGAGAGACCCTTGCCTGAAATCCTGGCAGGCCTATGCTCCTAAGTCATAGCTGTCAACTTTTCCCTTTTCTTGTGAGGAATCCTATTCGGAATAAGGGAATTTCCCTTAAAAAAAGGAAAACGTTGACAGCTATGTCCTAAGTGCCAATGGGCTGCATCGAGTTAACCCTAGCTATAACAGGTTGGTTACTCTTCCATGCATCCAAAATATCTTCTTTTTTCATGTGTGGGTTTGTATGTATGTGTCTCTGGCTACTCGGCAGCATAACTTTGAGACCAGAAACTGTCTCCGTCTTGGTGATCCCAAATATGACATGTCGCTCAGCTCTGCACTGCTGGCAGGTTTGCTTCCAACGGCCCATTAGTCATGCTAAGATATACCCCACCGGGGAGAAAATATTCAATAGCCCCCATCCCAGAGGGTAGTGGGACAGCATGCTGCCTCTAGGAACAATCTGTTATTTATATATTCTGTTCTCCGCGGAGCCTAAATACTAGGCACTTTGCTCCCTGCTCCCTGGAGGGGCCCCTAGAGCTTTGCTCATCTGAGGCCTGCATGTGGCAGAAGACACATCTTAGCATTTATTAATAGCTCCAAGGGCAGGGAGCCTCCTTGCTGTCCAGAGCCACCTGGGATCCTGTCTCAATAGCATTGCCTTTTCCTACGGGGGCGCCTTCCCAACCCTGCTCTCATTTGCTTACTTAAGACCATCTTTATGCTGCTTAATAGACCAGTAAAATAAAATAAAATTCTAAAGTGTGTACTGCAAATTAAAACATACATACGCACATATCTTTCCAAAATTTACAATGAAAACATTGTTACAAGCCACTAGGAATAGTAGTAAAAAAAAAGTACAGAAAAGCAATAAAGCTTTCCAGCTTTCAGAAAAAATGCTTTTTGAGGTTGGAGCAGGAGGTGTGTCTTCAAAAGATGACCAAAGCAGGTAACTGATGCTGATGACATAGGCAGCAGCATGGAGGCAGGATCTGTGTTTCCCATTGGTAGCTGCTTGGGTGATCACAGATGGAAAAAGACACGGATCTTGAACCTTTAAGTGGTTGGGCATAAAGGGGCACGGAAACCTCTTGCTTCCACCAGCCAATCTTGTTTGGCTTTGGGGTAGAGATGCAAGATACACGTGTTCATACACCCCCACACATCTATGTGCCCCCACACCCACATGGTTGCTTTGGTGTCTGAACCAGTGGTGCATTATGCTGTTGAGAGTGCCTAATTGTACAAGGGCTTATGGGAGTCATTTATATGCTGCTCCTTTACTCCCTATAAAGCAGGGGTCAGCAAACTTTTTCTGCAGGGGGTCAGTCCACTGTCCCTCAGACCTTGTGGGGGTGGCGGACTATATTTTGAAGGGGGGGAAAATGAATGAATTCCTATGCCCCACAAATAACCCCGAGATGCATTTTAAATAAAAGCACACATTCTACTCATGTAAAAACACCAGGCAGGCCCCACAAATAACCCAGAAATGCATTTTAAATAAAAGGACACGTTCTACTCATGTAAAAACATGCTGGTTCCCAGATGGTCCGCGGGCCGGATTTAGAAGGCTATTGGGCCGGATCCGGCCCCCAGGCTTTCGTTTGCCTACCCATGCTATAAAGGGCCTCTCTTCAGCAATCTTTGCTGGTGGCTGGTAAGAGATAAGTGAGTGATGGGCAGACCAGCAACATTTTTAGCTGCCACCAGGAGCACTCAGGTGGGAATGGGAACTTTGCATAGGTTCCAAGAGTTGCTCTGGGATGTTCCAGGATAGCGATAGTGATGCACTCCCCCCCTCCCCCCGCAATTTAGGATGTGTTCTGTGTAGGCTAAAATATGGATTGTTTGATTGGTGGATTTCAAGGCTTCTAAACTGATTGTGATACATAAATGCAGGCCCTGCATTCATCCCATTGGATACCAGTTGCTGGTGGGCATCCTTGAAGCATCTGATTGGCTAATGTGGGGAATGGAATGCTGACTAGCCAACTCTTTGATGTGGTCCAGTGGGGTTCTTCTTTTGAATCTGATCCTTTATAAGAAGGGTAGGGACCCTTGGCCTAATTCTTTTCAGAGGAGGAGTCTGGAGTGAGGGAGGGAGGAAAGGTTGCGGGGGGGGGATAGGAAAAAGGCAAACGAGGGTGGAGTTATTGGGATGGGGTGAAAATGCCTCTGCAAGCATCTAGTTCGGGCTTGAGACAAGAGCAATTTGTCCTTTCCCTGGTAGCCTATGGGGTGGGGAGAAAGAACAGGCATGGGGGAGAGAAAGCGGGTTGGGGGGGGAGAGAGAAGGTGGCAGAGAGAGAAAGTCAGTGACACACAGAGAAAGTGGGTGGCAGAGCGAAAGACAAAAGGGGGGTGACACACACAGAGAGGCGGTAGGGAGAGGTGGCGGCAGCAGCAGCAGCAGAGAGCCAGCCAGCAAGCAGAGTGGATGTATCCACTTCTATTCATCTCCACCTGCTATCAGCATCCTGAAATGTGGCCCTCAATAGTTAAAGGTTCCCCATCCCTTGTTTATGTCCTAGTGATGCTTGTATGGGAACGGATGTATCTCCCAAAGCGCTGCAGAGAAAGCAGTGCTGGATGAGGGAAAGTTCCTGGGGCCTGGAGATCAAAGAGGTGAGCTTTTCAATTAGTTCCACCCATGCCTATCCTGCTAATAGAGAGAACTGGGGAGCGGGGGGGGGGGGGGAGAGAAATTAAATTCCTTAGTATCTATGACCCCTGTAACATCCACAAGCACCCACATCACCCTGCACATTCTCTCTGTCTCTGCAAGCCTGCTTTCCACTGCTCTTTTCCCGCTGCAGCTTCCCTGCCAGCACCAGGCCCAGCTGGGTTCCAGTTAATTAACTGTGTTGTCTTATCGGCTCTCTTGCACGCACCATCCGTGATGCCTGTGAATTAACTCTGCCTGCGATAAGCCTCATTGTTCTGAGCCCTGGAGAGCCATGCGCCTCCCTCCTCGCCTGCCTCCCTCTCAGCTGTTACGCACTCCCGCCCGCCCCCCTACCCCACCCCAAAACATGTGCAGCCCAGTGTTGTTGGCTGGAAGCCCTCCAGAGTTGGCAGAGCCTTTGAAGTGGGCAGCATCCTTAATTGCATTTAAAGAGATGGCTGGGAAGCTGGGCTGCGTCCGCCCTCTCCCCCCCCCTCCACGTTTCTCGTGATGCAGATCCCTCCCACCACTGCTGAAGACATCCATTGGCTTCTCCTCTCCCTCCTTACCATCACCTCCCTACGTGAAGGCCGCCAACTAGGAGGAGAGGGGGAAGCTGTACTTGGCACCAAGGCTTAAGAGGCTTGCTACCTCTATCGCTAAAGGGGAAAGGGTAGAGGAGATGCCGGAGGAAGCAGGCCAATCCCTCCTAAGCCCATCGGACGGAAGTAATTCGTTTTGACAGCGTCTGTCTCCTCCTACCTCCTTGCTTGAGAATTCGCCTAGAAATTTCAGTGCCGCTGAGCGTCTCCCAGCTTGACAGGGAGGCCCAAGATGGAAGCGGTGGGCAACGGATTGCCGCCACTGCCGTTCTGTGGTCTTGCGGCAGGCGGCGGCTGCGAGCTGCCTGCCATTTTAATTATCCACAATGGCATTTCTGGGAAATTTAAAATGGCGGCCAGCTGTGGTAAGCCCCAAATCCAGGGAGGGAAGGGAGCAATTTCAAAGCAGGCGTCGACGCCAGTGGGCCCTGCTGGGGCATCAGAAGCTGCCCAAGGATGCAGAGTGGTAGTGCCCAGCCATGGGTTTGAAGGCTGACTGAAACCTTCAGCTATTGCTCTGCCCAGGTGAAAGCAGGGCACAGAGCACCACCCTAAATTTGGCGCTGAAGAGTGAGTTAGGTTGCAAGGGCTACCAGAATGGTGATGGTGCTCTCCAGGCTGTCAGTGGAACCTGAATTTGTTCAATCACCTTCTAAAGGAAAAGTGGTCGACCTGTGACCCCCACAGATATTGATGGAGTCCAGCTCCCATCAGCCTCAGCCAGACTGGGATGGCGGGATGTTGTTGTCTGGCAACATCTGGAGGGCCACAGGTTCCTCACCCCGTTCTAAAGCGATTGGAGTTACTGATCATCACCTCACTTTGCCAAAGTCCATCCTTCCCTTTGCGTTCAAGGTGGTTTGCATTAAACTGACAAAAATACAGTGGTACCTCAGGTTACAGATGCTTCAGGTTACAGATGCTTCAGGTTGCAGACTGCGCTAACCCAGAAATAGTACCTCAGGTTAAGAACTTTACTTCAGGATGAGAATGAAATCACATGGCGCAGCGGCAGTGGGAGGCCCCATTAGCTAAAGTGGTACCTCAGGTTAAGAACAGTTTCAGGTTAAGAATGGACCTCCGGAACGAATTAAGTTCTTAACCCGAGGTACCACTGTATTCAATGCAAAAATAATAATGTTAGTCTACAAGACCTCGATAGTTAAAACACAAATTTCTAATAAGACGAGACAGACATAAAAAAATATTAGGCAATACCAATCCATTAAGCAATTCATCAAAACGTGCAATTTATAATTACTAGATCATAACATTTCCAGGCAACATGAAAACATAAGTGACAGGCCGAGAAGTAACTCAATTAATGCAGATTGCAGGAGAATCAATCATGTAACAAATCCACAAGCCCAAAATGCACAGGAGCCACCGAGATTAAAAATGATATTAACTTAAGATTCCATGCACAAACCCCAGCTGATTAAATGTGCCATGATATCCTCATCTTTCCTCTGTTCTCACCAGACCCCAACCTTGTGGCAGTGAGTTTCACTGACTGAAAATGTCTTCTGTGAACAACTTGTATCTTGTCTGCCCTCCATCTACTGCAGGGGTGGGAAACCCTCTCCAGAGTCATTCCTTTCTGGACAACCTTCCAGGGCCACATGCCAGTGGGTGACCAGAGGCCAACACTGAGCAGAGCCTGCTGGATCAGGGCAATGGCCCATCTAGTCCAGCATCCTCTTCTCAAAGTGCCTGTGGGGAACCCTCAAGCAGGACCTGAAAGCAGGACCAAGAGAAAACCCTCTCCCCTCCCATGGTTTCCTGCAGCTGGTGTTCAGAAACATATAGCCTCCAGCCATGGAGGCAGAACACAGCCATTGTGGCTGGTAGCCATTGGACAGTCTCATCCTCCATGAATTTGCTCAGTCCTCATGAAGCCATCCAAGTCGGTGGCCATCACTGCCTCCTGCAGGAGGATCAGGGACGCAGCTGGCGCTGTGGTCTAAACCACGGAGCCTCTTGGGCTTGCCGATCGGAAGGTTGGCGGTTCAAATCCCTGCGACGGGGTGAGCTCCCGTTGCGCTGTCCCAGCTCCTGCCAACCTAGCAGTTCGAAAGGACACCAGTGCAAGTAGATAAATAGGTACTGCTGCAGCGGGATGGTAAACGGCATTTTCGTGCGCTCTGGTTTCCATCATGGTGTTTTGTTGTGCCAGAAATGGTTTAAACATGCTGACCACATGACCCAGAAAGCTGTCTGTGAACAGATGCTGGCTCCATTAGTCTGAAAGCGAGATGAGCGCCGCACCACATAGTTGCCTTTGACTGGACTTAACACTCCAGGGGTCCTTTACCTTTATCTTTTACCTGCAGGAGGAACAGGCTTGATAGTTTAATTACGCACTGTGTGGAGTATTTTCTTTGGTCTACCCAACATTCCGCTTCATTTGGTGCCCATAAGTTCTAAATTTTATAGCCTTCTGTCATGTCACCTTTTCCCTAAAGTCCTAAATGTGGCAACCTTTCTTCATAAGGAAGCCACTCCCATCCCCTTGACCATTTTGCCTGCTCTTTCGTCTCTTTTCCAGCTGTCCTGTATCCTTTTTGAGCTGAGGCAGCTAGAACTGTGCACAGTATTCCAAGTGCAGCCACCTTCACAGTCACGTGGGCCATAAACTTGTGTTCTTTTCACGTGTGGTGAAATTAGCATAAGCATCTCGATATTTTATATCTCCAGCACCAAGCTTCCAAAATTTGACGGATGCTATGAAGGCGGTGGTGGCGTAGACTTGTAACTAAAGATCTTGCAGGCAGGTGGGGGAAGGCCATACATAGCTCATTAGTAGAAGACATGCTTTGCAAAGCAGGAGGTTTCAGGTTCCAGTACCTGGCATAGACTCATAGAGTTGGAAGAGGATCAACCCTCTGCGAAGCAGGAATATGCAACTGCCCCATACAGGGATTGAACCTGCAACCTTACTGTCCTCAACCCCACACTCTAACCAACTGAGCTATCCAGGCATCTGCAGGCCTAGCTGAGAAAGATCCCCTTCTGAAATCCTAGAGGGTTGCTGTCAGTCAGTGTACTAGGCAATAGTGAGCTATGGCCCTGCAGATAATGGTTGAACTCCAAATCCCATCAGCCTCAGCCAGTACAGTCATTGGTCAGGGATGATGGGAGCTGTAGTCTTGACAACATCTAGAACGGCGCATGTTACCTATCCGTGGTTTGCGTTATGCTCTAACCACCCTGTTGGGAGTGCTAACTATCTGAATGTCTCTTCTGTTACTGTCATCCTTTGGCAGGAGCTGTCTAAGAAGCAACAGGGACGGATAACGACCGAGATCCAGGAGGCCAGCAAGTTCTACTACGCTGAAGATTACCACCAGCAATACCTGCACAAAAACCCCGAGGGGTTTTGCGGCCTGAAAGGCACTGGGGTTGCCTGCCCCATTGGCAAATGAGAGCCTGCCTCCTCCAGAGGGGAGTGTTCTTGGGAACCATGGTGATCGGAACCCTTCAGCAGTTGCCATGGAAACCGAAGCAGCCTAGCATCCTCCTTAATTCAGCTGTAATTTAGCAATTGGGGCTGTCCTTTCCTTCCTTTGTGTTTGTGGGATGCTGCAAGATTTGGGGAAGGAGGCAGACAACGGCCAGCCTGCCAGGAGACCGTCCTGTGCCTTGGATAAGATACAGCTACCCACCTATACAGGCCTCACATAGGAAAGGGGTGCCTTCTTCCTGGTTGCGGCCTCTTCAGATGTCCAGTCCTGTCTCAGAGAGGGTCAATGCAGAAAGACGAGACTGCCATTGCTCTGAGGCTGTGTTCACACTGAGGCATTAACACATGCGTGGGCCGCCGTTTCCATGTACCTGTTGTCGCACCTTGGTTGTCCGCACACAAATGCCTTCAATTTTCTCTGCAGATGTTTCCCATCCACAACAGTTGGGCACTGCTAGCTGGGTTGTATTGGGGCTGTGTGTTGTTCTCTATGCCCTTCCATTAGCACTGCCATCACTTCTGGACGCTTGCGGTTTTTGTGGTTTTTTAAAAAATAAATACATTATTGGGACCAACTGGGCCAGTTACCTATTGAAACCCTTCTGTATGCAGAGTCAGCAGCATTTGGCTAGTGAAAATTGGGCTAGAGAGCAGACTTTGTACCAGTTGCCATTGCCCACACAGAGGTGCTTGCAGCTAAGAAGGCAATGAAGTTGTTTGTTGTAGGAAATCTGTAACTTGGATAGAAAATGTTCTAGTCTAGAGAAGAACGAGGCAGCCATACCTGGTTCTTTGTTGTCCTAGAGGATAATTAAAGGTGACCACTTATCTTGAGGTTCAAGTAGGAGAAGGAAGAGGAAGTTGTAAGCAGGATGCAACCTGAGAACATCAGTCTAACATCAAAGAGAGCGAGAGAGAGAGGTCAGCTCAAGAGGTTAAAGGTACAGGGATAGTTTGGGAATCTGGAAGTCCATAACATTGTCTGTTTTAACCCACGCAAAACCTCTCTTCTGTAAGCTGAGTTGCACCCAGACTTGCAACATAGATGTGTGTGTATTGTGCATGATTCCTCCAACAGCCTGCTAAGGAGCAGCCCTCCAGAGGGGCAGAGAGAGGAAAAGGGTGGATGTCCATGGCACAATGCTCACAATCCCATTGGCCCTCACCAGTAAGGAGCCATCTGCAGCTCTTCTGGAGACAACCGAGACAACCTACATTGTAAGTAGGTGGTTGTAGGGAATTGGCAAAAAAACAATTCCAGTGCAGCTGCATTTAAAGAAATTCTTGACTCGTACCAAAAGTTGTTCCAGGAGCTTCAAACACATGTTAATTGCTACAGTGGTGAAGCCCGGAGTGTTTTGGCAATGGTTTTTGCATCAAATACTATCTCTCCTGTGCTTTCCTTTGTAGCGTTCTCTTTAGGTCACCGTGACTTAGAGAGGCTGCCGGGAACTGAAATATTATTCAGGATTATTCAGGATTTTCCACATCTGTGACCCGTGACTAAAGCCAAGGCCTTGTTTTCTCCCTCCGCTGTGTCTTATGGGCACACAACAGGCCAGCTGCTATTGAACGCAGCTACGCAGCTACTTCCTCATTTCACCAATCTGCAGTGAGAGACAGCTGGCCTGTGTCTCTCCTTCCCATTCTTTCTACCCATTGGCTGTGGCAGGCTATGCCACACTCACAGGGCTCTGATTGGCTCCTCTCTGCTCCTGCCCCCTGATTGGCCACGGGACCATTTATAACGCCACTCTGTATTCAAGGTGCATTTCACAGCTCAATGGTTAATGGTGATGGAAGTTGTGGTCCACCCACATCTAGGGACCCAAGGTTGAAGAAATGGCACTAGATCACAAATCAACTGCTTAAATGTCTTCAGTGCGTGTAGTGGGATTGAGAGAAGAGTCTCTCTCAAAGATTAGCTATTAGGGTTGTTTGTGTGTGTTGGGGGACAGGACTCATAGTATCTCCATCTTATGGAAGTGTCGTCTGCCCTCTGATGTTCATGGTGGTACTGGTGCCAGTGTAGGCATCAAGTCACTGAATTCAAAGTAGATCACAACCGGGGGAAACAGCCCTACTTCGTCACCCTCCAAAACATCATAGAGTAATGCTGCTAGCAACACAGGCGCTTTTTTCAAGTTGCTACAGCTTCCAGAAGAATTGAGGGGGAAGGGGAGAAGTGGAGCAGTAGCTCATCTGCATGTGCTAATTGTACTGTTCCAGTGACTGGCGGTGCTTTAAAAAAAACAACCCAACACCAGCCAGGCAGCTGTAAAGCAATCCATGTGTCAACATATACAGTGATAAATGCATTTAGTGGGGGAAAGCATGTGTTGTCGGGGGTGGGGAGGGGATATGTCTAAGGCTGCAACCCCTACATAAATTTACATGGGAGCCACATTTAATTCCCATGTGTCCTACATGCAAAGGATTGGGTTACATAGAAACATGCACCCACACCCGTTTTAGAACATAGAGAGTATTGAGGTGCACAGGATCCTGCCTTATAAGTGAATCAGATGATTGGCCTATCTAACTCAGGTCTGTCTGCACTGGCTGGCAGTGGCTCTGCGCTTTCAGACATGATTCTTTACTAGCCGTACCTGGAGATGCTGGGGATTGAACCTAAATCCTTCTGCATGCAAAACGAACTGATCTGCCACTGAGTTAAGTAAGGCAGCCTTCTTATATGCAGTTAACCCAAGCTCCACTGAACGTAGTGGGACTTGCTCCTGGGGGAACCTGCAAGGGGTTGTGTTGCACATCCCACTGAATTCAGTATAACTCTTCCCCCCCCCCAGCCTGAATGATAAGCAGCCTTAGAAGGCTGTCCTTTAAAAATAATTAATTAAACAAATAGAAGAAATACAGAACACTCAGGCACATCAGTATTTCAGTGTATGTCCCTGTATTTATTTAGCAAACTTATTTTTGTCCTGCCTCTCTGTTGCAAAAGGAGCCCAGAGTGCCAAGAATGATAACCCAGACTTTGTTTTTATTGTGCATTCATGACGGTGTGCTCATGGTGGTATAAAGGGGAGCTGGTTATATCCTGTTCTTCTTCCAATTCTGTTTCTGCCTTCAAAAGTTTTGGGGCTGCCCTCTTTTTTTTCTGCCTTTGTAGCTGTGTTCCATGAGGCTGCCAGCAGGGGGAGCTGCGACATTAATCAGAGCGTGCTGCATGCACCAAAATAAAAATAAAAAGGCATAACCAAATCAGCCTCTCTTGGTCAGCATCGATCTGGCGATTGAGAATGAAAGAGAAAGAAGTAATCCGTGCAAAGGGGAAAGGGGTTTTTCAGGCAGGACCTGATGCAAAAGTGATACGAAACGGGTTGGGGCCATAAACCACAAACACCTGATCTGTGACTGGTGCCCCTTGGGACACAAGGGGCAGAAGGCTCGGAGCCCAACAGTAGGTGGCGCCAGAGCCAACTAATCCCTAGTTTTGTCCCATCCTCCCTGCTGAGTTCTACAAGGGCAACACTCAGATGGAGGAGGAGGAAGTTGACCTCCAGGGCACAGTGAGGTTAGTGGGGCAGCACCCCATTTGCCCTAATGGCCTGGATAGCTAGGTTGGTTAAGGTGTGATAACACCAAGGTTGCAGGTTTGATCCCCATTTGGTGCAGCTGTATATTCCTGTGTTGCAGGGGGTTGGACTTGATGATTCTCCCAATTCTACAATTCAATGGCTCTTGTTTAAGTGTCACTGTGAACAGTGGCAGGCCTCAGGGTCTCAAATTTCACCGGTGCCCTGTGCAACACCAAAACCCAGCGCCCCCATACCTCTCACTTTCCATTCTGCATCATACTTGCGGTGCCCCCGTGGCTCCCCTAAATCCATCTCTGCTGTGAATTGTTAACCGAGTGGCAAACGACAGTGCCCATAATTCTTTGAATAAAATAAGGTGTTGCAAAGGCATAGTGCGTTTACGACTTGAAACCCTTGAGTAATCCAAACAAAAGTCCTGGACAGGTGCTGGCAATTCCAGATGGAGTCACCACCTGTCTTTTAAGTCAGGACCTAGCATGAACTTTCTATTATCTTTACCTACCAGGGTTACCCTGAAACAATGACTTTTGGCTCTGAACTGGGAAGCAGCTGTATGGAAGTGAGAGCTGGACCATAAAGAAGGCTGGTCGCCGAAGAATTGATGCTTTTGAATTATGGTGCTGGAGAAGAGCCCCATGGACTGCAAGAAGATCAAACTGATCCATTCTTAAGGAAATCAGCCCTGAGTGCTCACTAGAAGGGCAGATCCTGAAGCTGAGGCTCCAATACTTTGGCCACCTCATGAGAAGAGAAGACTCCCTGGAAAAGACCCTGATGTTGGGAAAGATGGAGGGCACAAGGAGAAGGGGACGACAGAGGACGAGATGGTTGGACAGTGTTCTCGAAGCTACCAGCATGAGTCTGACCAAACTGTGGGAGGCAGTGGAAGACAGGAGTGCCTGGCGTGCTCTGGTCCATGGGGTCACGAAGAGTCGGACACAACTAAACAACGATCTTTACCTACCAGGGTTACCCTGAAACAATGACTTTTGGCTCTGAACTGGGAAGCAGTTGAATAGCTATTAGAGATGCATGTTACAAATTCTATTTTTGTTTTTGTGTTTTGGGGTACGGGCCAACATTTTGGCTTGGGTAGGAATTCTGCAGATATTCACCTCACCCCCCCCTCCCATGCAGCAGCATTCTTTCTCTTCCATGTGGTGTGTTTGCGTGTGCACCCCCAGCTGCTGCTTTTTTCACTTTATGGCAGTGGTGTGGAGATGTTGCTGGACTCCAGCTCCCATCATCCCTGACCGTTGGCCATGCTGACTGGAGCCGATGGGAGATGGAGTTCAACATAACATCTGAAGGGTCACAGATGTTTCCCCACCTCTGCTGTACCGGTATAGGCAAAGGGGGCCATTCCAGCCAATCAGGGAACGCACAACAATGAACAGGACAACTATCCATAAGCAATCGGATTTGCCTATGTGACGGTGAGCAGGGCACTGCGAATGAATAAGCTAATGTGTCCCCCCCCCCCAGATAGGGCAACTTAACCACCTTTCTTTCCTCTCAGCCTTTTGAATAATTTTTAAATCTTTCACTTGTTAGTGCTGTTGGTATTGCTTAGTCTGGTTGATTAATTTTAGCGGCGGTGGTGATTACATGGTTTGTGTGTCTCTGGGTTGTTATTGTTTGTATTAAGTGGTTAGCGATGTTGTGTTTCCGTTTTTGATTGCTATTTACAGTGCATTGGAAGGTTTATTGCTTTTTAATTGTATGTTGCCTTGAGGTGCACCCACAGGCTTGTGACAGTGGGTTAACCTGGGTACACAGCAGAGGAGGAGGAGCAGATGTGCCATTTTATTTTTTTTAACCTCTCATAGGCCAGCCCTGCAAATTACACCAAAATAATGAAAGTCAAAATAAGTTAAAACCGTAAAAACCAGAATTCAGTTAAGATGCCTGCTGGAATTTTAAAAGTATTCAGTAGGTACCAGTGGTTCAACAGGGAGGGGCCCTTTCTGACCTTGACTGGAAAGGAGTTCCATAAAATTGGCCCCACCGTACTGAATGCACAGCTCCTGGAGAGTACAAACCATCCATCCGAGCCATGGGGGACCGCTAACAGTGACTCACCCGAAGATCTCAATGAACGGGCAGGGATAGAAGTGACTGGCAGGTCCTTGAAGTATCATGGACCCAATTTGTTAAGGCCTTGTAATTTAACAGAATTAACTTTGAATCTGGCCTGGTAGTGTATGGATAGTGATAATAATAATAATAGGATTTTTTTAAAAAAATTTTTGCTACTGAGAATATTTGTGAAGAGCTAAAAGGTTGTAGATAACTAA